TCCCATATAATACCTTCCCTGTCGCCACCTTCTACAGCCAATTTCCTGTTACTTTCACCTCTCTACAGTACTGCCAGCCACTAGCTTTAGACCACATTAAAAATATTACATCTGGTACCCGCACAGCTCAAGATCCAGTGCAAATTCTCGAAAGTCATTTTTGGTGGGGAATTTAACAGCATTTCCCGTGCTTGCATTGTAAAAACTAGATTGTACAGTTTGTAAAAGATGGGTCCTGGCATTCGAGGGATCGTAGGTTGGACTCCAGCGGATTTAATTAGCAAATAGGCAAAACAGAAGCTTAGGCTGAGAGTACAGTGTTCAAAGTTCGTGTTCAGTTAGCTGTTCCTGCTGTTTATACGGTTAAATATTGCTGTGCTTACTTACAGTGATGTGAAAAAGAGAATACACCCTGGTACAATTCTAAGGGGTTTACATATTAAGACATTAAATGAAAAAATCGACCAACATTCAGAAGTCTTGTGTGAAAAAGTTAGTCCACCCTTAATGCTTTCAGTATGAGTTGAGATGGTAATCACAATCAGGTGGTGCTAAAGAAGTGATCATGAGGGAAGTGCTTCCACCTGTATATAAAATAAGAAGCGTTGTCGGTTCTGTCTGGAGCATTCAGGTGTGTATTAATACATCACGCCTAGGTCAAAAGATATCTGTGCTGGTCCCAGAGAAAGAGTCATTGCTGCTCATCAGTCTGGGAAGGGTTATAAATCCATTTCTAAACAATATAAAGTCCATCATTCTACAGTGAGAAAGATAATTTACAAATAGAAAAAGTTCAAGATCTACCCAGGAGTGGGTGTCCCAGCAAATTCACCCCAAGATCAGACTGTATGATGCTCCTACAGACTGCAAAGAACCCTAAAACTACAGCCAGAGATCTACAGGCCTCTGTCAATAAGTTACGCATTAGAATTCATTATTCTAACATTAGGGACAAAAATGAACAATTCTTTGGCGGAAGAGTAGCCAGGAGAAAACCCCTTCTCTTCAAAAAGAATATTTCTGCATAGTGTAGGTTTGCAAAACAGCACCTGAATGAACCAAAGACTTCTGGAACAATGTCTCTGGACAGATGAAACCAAAGCAGAGTTGTGTGGCCTTCCTGCATATAACATGTTAGGTGAAAACCAAACACTGTGTATCACCACAAGAACCTCAGACCAACCGTCAAGCATGGTGGAGGGGTGATGATTTAAGCCACAGGTGCAGGACCTGGAAGCCTGACAACCATCAAGTCCACATTCTAGAGGAAAATGTGAGTCTAACAGCTACAGCTACAGCACTGTCTTAGCCGAAAGTGGATCACAGAACAGGACGATGTTCCAGAACACACCAGAAAATGTACAACTGAAAGGCTGAAAAAGAAAAAACCTAGATTTTGGAATGGTCAAGTCAAAGCGCAGACCTAAATCCCATTGAGATTTTGTGGCAGGACCCAGAGAGAGCTGACCTTAAACCAATCCCCTCTAACATCACCAAGCTGAAGCGGTTTGCAACAAGGAGTAGGCCAGGAGTCCTCCCAGGCGATGTCGTAGACTGATCAACTCTTATAGGAAAAGTTCATTTCAAATTATTGCTGCTAAAAGGGGTTCCACGCACCACTGAATCACAGGGTGCACTTTTTCACACAATGCTACTGAATGTCGGCTGATTTTCAAAAGTAAATAATGACAAAATAAACTGTGTGTGTGTGTGTTATCTGTCATATGAGGTTAGATTTATGTACTGTTAGGACTTTTTTATGAGGTTTGGACTAAATGAAGGCCTTTTTTTACATCACTGTATATGTCCGCTGCTACAATAACCTAAAGATTTAAATTATTAGAGTTGCAACCTGGCCACGAAATCTGAGACTGAGGAGATTTTGGATGTTGCCTGAAACGGCAATTTATGTCAAAACGGCGAGAGGAACCTTTGCTGAATCGATATTGCCGCTTGTTTGCCGTGTAGGTCCCGAAAATACACCTGTTCTGTACAAATTTCCAGTACTTTTATCATTCTGTTCCAGCTCTGAAAAATAGCTTCGCGGCAAATGTAAAGAAAGGCAAAAGTCCTTATAATCTGAAAGAGGAATCTGACATTTTCTGAAAACATTAATAGTTATTCTTTCACTTTTTAGTTTTATTATTTTCAGTTCTTCTGTATTTTACGGAGCACACGTTCAATAACAGCGGACTTTGCCTTTCTTTTCTGTAGAAAATTACGCTTCGAATCATTACTGCCCCGTGAACAAACTAGAAAGACATCGCCCACACTGAAATCACTAGCTTCTGTCGAGCAAATTATTGTGAACGATTTGATTCACGGCGATACGCCAATTGTATTGTTACTGTCTCAAAACGCATCTCGCTTGTATCGCGAAGCGAGTTTTTAACTCGGTAAAACTTGACAGACTGCTGCTCTGATGACGTCACGTCTCGGCGCTGCGCCAGGACGTCTTGCGGATCAGCGCCTCACTGGCACCTGACTTCCGGGTAAATGACGACTTGCGGCGTTTTAAAATCCAACGCCAAATTGACGCGTTTATCTTAATGTATAAAACATCTCAAACTTAAAATATATCGTTATTCTAAAAAATGAATACTGAGCAACAGATATGCAACGCCCATATATGTTGTCAATCTGTTATACTGTTGTGTTGTACTGCTTGAGCCTTATACTTCCAAAAATGAATCATTTCTGAAAGACAATTACGTGATTACCAATTTGGGAAATAAACCATTTTTGATTCACCCATGGGCAGGTAGACGGCACCTTTCAGAAATTACAATCCGTTTTTGAAAGCACCTAGCATATGGTGGCATCAGTGAGCAACTAAGCATAAAAACGTTCTATAGTAAGGATTTGACTTTTAATGCCTCAAGATATTAGAAATTTTCTCCTCTAGTGCCTGGAAAATGAAGACTAGAATTACTCAATACAGTTGGATCTCAAATTAAGAGTAAATATTCTGGACTATATTGCATCTGTTTATACACCAAGACTGAAATACAGTACTCAATTTCTTGGAAACAAGACACAAAGCAAGGTGAGGTAGTGGAAAGTTTATTTACAACCCAATAATCACAATGCAAAAAAGAGAAAGGTAAAGAAAAAAAAGATAACAAGTCTACTAATAATTTATCCCATCTGAAGCATGCAAACTACAATCTACAGCACAATGAGCCAGAGGTATAACAATTTCAGATACAAATTGACTGTTTATTTTAAAAACCTGAGAGGGAGTTTTGAAGGAATGTTTTACAAAACGCTTGCTACTTTTGCACTGTAAACCACTAGCCTGTTTTTTTTTCTGTTTTCTATCAATACTAACAAAAATACAAAATAAACTTCAACCTCCACATGAAGGCATTTGCAGTTCAATAAAAGATTTCAAAAAATTTCTCTTCCCCAAAAAAAAAGTTCGGATAAAGTTCGAGAGCTGGTGCTTAGGCGCGCTCGCCCCGGATTCGCCGAGCCAGCTGGATGTCCTTGGGCATGATGGTGACTCTCTTGGCATGAATGGCACACAGGTTGGTGTCCTCAAACAGGCCAACCAAATAAGCCTCACTGGCCTCCTACGAGGAAATGGAAAGAAAACAATGATTAAAACTATTCCCATGCTCCGTATACAAGTTCTTATTGAGCACTTGACACCGTTTCCCAGCGTACACACCCTGACACTGGCAACCTCAGGAAAATGTTCCCATTTCAAGAAACTTAAATTCTCCCCAAACAGGGGCAACAGAAACCAAGGCACACCAAATTCTAAGTATGATTGTATCTACTGAAAGACTTCTAGAGATTTAACAGATGTAGCCATTGCTCCTGGACCATTGCTCCGACTGTGGACAGTGAAAATGATCCATGTCTGAGGATAGGGAGCAGTAAACAGTTGTTGGTTGTGCAATGCAAAGCAACAGACTTAACCACAACATGCATACAGGTTAAACCACTGCTCTTTCAGCCAAAATCTTTCACCTGTTAAAATCAAGAAAATCTGAACATAGTGCTATTCTATACCTCTAATAACCTGGTCTTTCAGCTCTTAATCATAGCACGTAGTTTGGTGAACTGTTTATACCAATAAAAGAGACATACCTGGAGAGCACCAATGGCAGCACTCTGGAAACGCAGGTCGGTCTTGAAGTCCTGTGCAATTTCTCTCACCAGGCGCTGGAAAGGGAGTTTGCGGATCAGCAACTCTGTGGACTTCTGGTACCTACGGATCTCTCTCAGGGCAACAGTTCCAGGCCTTTTTTTAAAAGGAGAAAAAAAAAACATCATGCAGCTGCAGCAATACACACAGGGAAAAGAGTGGACTTGACCGGAAATTTTTCAAATCAACATAAAACAATATGAAACCTCAACACAAGACCACATTAAATTAAAGCATTAAAAAAACCAAGAACTTGTGCAAAGAAGTAAAGGAATCCTGAAAAGGGGAAGGGGACTGCGAAAGCTCACCTGTATCTGTGAGGCTTCTTCACACCACCAGTAGAGGGCGCACTCTTCCTGGCAGCTTTGGTGGCCAGCTGCTTCCTGGGCGCCTTTCCACCAGTGGATTTACGGGCAGTCTGCTTGGTACGTGCCATTGCGACTCAAGTCTCCGTGTCCCAAAACTACAATCGGAACAACAAGAAGGGAAGAGACTGAAGCACAAGCATCTCGTCCTAGCAAAAAAATGGCTTCGAAGCAGGGAGTCTAATCCCGATAGGTGCCGATTTTAAGAAGACCCCCTCTGCTCCTGCCTGCACCTCACGTCCCGCCCACGCTGTGACTGACGCAGGGCAGCCCAATGGCGGCCGTGGGGCGCTCTGGCGGCACACGACAGCAGCAGCTCCGGAACGAGAACGAGCTGTTATCCACCGAGCAGCAAAATCAACACCGGAGCCCAGAGCACAAAATGGCGGCTTCACCAGCGACCAGCAGCAGCAGACCCCACAGGAAGGTCTGCGGCCATATTCGCGTCACGACAGCCCGCGCTGCCGTTACTCCGAGCAGCCAGAAGTATTTTTTCTGATTAAGCGGGCCTGAATTAAGAATAAATTGCCCGGCTTCGTTGCTTAATGAAAATTGTTTTCGACACTAAAAGACAAAGGATCTCATTCGGCGTCAGAGCAACTTAAAACAGGAACATTACGAAAACAAACGTATGAGACCGGCAAAAACTAAATGTCGATATCAAAAATACTAATAAGTAGTCGGCTAGATGTAGTGCAAGATAAGACTGCGGTTCATAAATTGGGATTTGAGAACTACCTTAAGGGCACAGCTCAGTCACTCATCCGCATTTCAGCATCGGAAGGCGGGAGCGCTTTCCAAATTCTCTTATCTGATGTAACTCCCCCACCCCCACTATTACAGAAAAACTCGACACCCTTAAAACCTTAAACTCGGCAGTAACTCCGTCAAATTACTACAACAGGGGCGAAAAGACGGAGCCCCCCAAAACAAAACGGGATCTCTCTTTTTATTTTTTTTTGCCTCTCTTTCCACCATTACGCGACGCGCAGGAGACACGTCCCCTCCGCCCGCTGTAACATGGCGCCTCGGAAGAGCCGCTCGCCGCCGCTTTGTCTCGCGCCGCTCAGCCGCCCGCACGAGGCACCGGGGAAGGCGAGGGAGCCCGGCGGGGGGCGAATCGCGCCCCTCTCCGGGAGAGGGGCATCTCCGCGGTCCCCGGCACTCGACCCATTTACCTTGTAAAACGCGATTTGGTAGTCTCGCAAAAGCGCCAGAAACGCCGAAGAGAAAAAAAGCCTCGGATATATGCGGCGCAGTTTCTATTTTCAGTACTTCAAGACGGCCAGAAGTCCGGAGATGGGGAGAAAGACCGCCAGCGCCGTATTCCCATAGCAATCGGCAAGGAAAAGAAGGCTTAGAATTGTTCACCAGCCCACGTATGCGCCTCACATGAAGAAATAAATGACTCTCATGTCTAATAAAGTTTTAAAAACGCATTAAAAAAAAATAAGCACTTACTCGAGCGATCACAAACGCCTCTTCTTTCCTAGCGGCCAATTTCCACACTGCGCTACGTAAAACCTGGAGAGGCCGGGCTTGAATTTATTCCCCCGTGACGCAGTGCGCAGACCACGCCCCCAGCGCGGCGGATTTGCTTTCTGATTGGTCGAGAAGAAGACGTACGTATTGGGGGAGCAGGGGAAATCCCCGCCCCCTAATGCGCCTCAGATGTCAATGTTATTGTTGCTGTACTGTGTTGGCTGTAGTGTGCGGAGGAGCAGACGAGGATGGACCTCCGGCGGGCTTTTTCAGGCTTTTTTTCAGCCTGTAAAAAAAACCACGACCGTAATCACTGATACATTTTAGGGCATGAAGGTCGTTCACAATGGAAACTGTAGAAAAATCACCGAATTGGCTTGATCCAGTACAGCATGAGGTTTAAAAAAATCTAAGTATGTTCTCTGTCTCACAACATGCAGAAATGGATTTTGTAATATCTGCCATCCGTATATGTGACAATTCACTAGTGGTATGGTAAAAACACTACGTTGCAATTACAAAACTCCTTGAAATACTACACCTAAGTAAACTTCCGTGGCCTAAAACGGAATACGGTGACCGAAAAGCTCGTGATTTTGCCCAAAAAGCAGGCTGATGTAGGTCATTCCTCCATGCTTTGTTTTCTCCTGTGCTTCTTAGTTATACGCTTTCAAAGAAATATACAAAAGTGTGATATTCCGAATTTTTAACCATCTTCATTTTACATTTACGACCTGTGGAAAGTCAAGACATACGCAACAGCAATTTTACCAGTCAAGTGTGTGAGCTTCGTAATTAAACTCGGAGAACGTGTTTCTGCAGGAACACGTCCTGGGTGTCAGCCACAGATTCTGCTTTTGTACTCCTGAGAAGCCATGGGCGCAGTCTCGCCATCTTCTTCAAGTTCAGCCAGGCTAACAGCTTGTTATTACCCGCTTCAACTCCACACAAAACAGAAAGTACTCGACCGCCCTCGACCACAGCCTTACACTCTGATAAATATGTGCTAACGCAGCTCATTAAGCTCTGCTAACTGTAATTAAACATATGTTTTACCTTTTATGGAAGGAAAACGCATTGGAATTCTTTGTTTTGCACTGGAATTGTCTTTGTTGATAACATTAAAGATAGTTTATTAATCTTTAAATGTAACATTTTGTCAGTTATTTTATGCCTCCGTGCATATAATTAAATTTAATCACTTTTGCAGGTTTAATGTGTTTTGCAGCATTGAATTCTATGTGTGCTTTGGTAGCAGTGTCACAAGACACTGCGTGGAGTTTGCATGTTCACTCCATGTTCACGCGAGTTAATAATTATAATAATTGCTTACACTTATATTGTGCTTTTCTGGACACTTAACTCAAAGCGCTTTACAGGTAATGAGGAATCCCACTAACACCACCAGTGTGCAGCCCCACCTGGATGATGCGACAGCAGCCATAGTGCACCAGAAAGTTCCCCACACATCAGCTATTAGTGGGGAGGAGTACAGAGTAATGAAGCCAGTTAATAGAAGGGGATTATTAGGAGGCCATCCGAAGGACAGCGTCTTTTTACAATATAGTGTCCCTGTCACTACACTGGGGCATTAGGACCCACGTGGACCTCAGGGTGAGCGCCCCCTGCTGGCCCCACTAACACCTCTTCCAGCAGCAACCTTAGTTTTTCCCACGAGGTCTCCCATCTAGGTACTGACCAGGCTGCCCCCTGAGTGACTGAGTTGCCACCAAGTGCTCCAGTTTCCCCTACATTCCAAAGACACAGTGGCTAGTGTGAGTGTCCTATGATGGACTGGCCTTTCATGTGGAGTACACTCCTTTGTGCCCTGTATTTTCATGACAGGCTCTGGGGCGCAATGTGCAGCTTTCTCATAATGGATAGATAGAAGATGGAAATCCTGAGTCCATCCATTTAAAAAATAAGATGCTACACTGAAAATGGAAAAAAAAAACACTCTAGCATCTTGAAGGAGTTCTGTACTAGCTATTTTTATACCAAAACACAGTAGAAACTGTAGAATGTGTTTTCACAAGCTTACAATTACAATGAAGCACTTACTGTATTTAGTATTGGATGACAAGGTCAAACATTTTTTCCCCCAAGAAACAGAAGACATTTTATCTATCAGAACATAAGTGCAAAAAAGAAAAGGTCATTTAGTCCATCTAACTCATTGGTGTGTTAGGAGACAAATGATCCGAAGATCTCATTCAGACATTTCTCAGACAACAGACAGGGTATCGGCAGGCTGGGTTATTCTAAACTTCAACAACCCTTTGTGTGAAAAAGTGCCTTCTGTTCTCAGTTTAAAATGCAATGTTACTGTATATTGTTTCCTCCTGTGGTCTCTGGTTTGTGCATCACTGTTGATTCTTAAGAAGGTCAGAATAAAGAATATTCGTTCCTTTATTTATAATTTGTGTTTTTTTCAACCTGCATGTAACACTCTGTACTTTTGATGGATGGAGGATATAAATTAAGAAAGGCAGTAGTCCTAATATAGACCCCTGGTGTATGCCTCTAATTATAGCACTTTCCCTCTGTCTGGTTATGGCTCATATTATCAAAAATCCTATTAAAACCGATCTCAGCTTTTCTTTTTTATTCTAAAGAGGGTTCAGTTCATACAAGGGGGACCTTTGTCATCTTAAAAGTAACACAAGACATTTTATTCAGATTGCAACATGCAAAAACATTTTTAGAGATGGACCTTTATGTATTTTATAAGGGTTAAACAATTTAGCTAGTCCATTTGAATGTGGGAAATAATGGAAAGTACAATTAAAAGTGTTCCAGGCTCACTATTCTTTTTTTCCTTCCAATGAGGGAAATGTAAATGCCCTATGCAAATGTATGTGTGCTGGAACAAAAAGTAGTAGCCCCTAGTGAATCTGCTGTTGTTCGTTAGGTATAATAAAAAATTGAATTAGATATTGTGCTACGAAATTACACAAAAGGAGCTATTATTTATCTGGCCCACTGTGAAAAAGCATGGTGCACAGGCTTAAATGACTTTCCTTTAATTGACTTAACACTTGTCAGCTGGATTAGTAAATTGCATTTTGCAATTATCTGGCTTGTCAGTATCATGGAACAGTGTCCCAAATTAAAAGCCTGTCACTGTGTGCAGAGCAGTGTAATAATTATTATCTACTGTCATTGCTTCTTCTTCAGTGCCACTTGATTTTTACATCACTGCACTGGTTCCCAAGTAAGGAAGAAAAGGAACAGTACGTGATGAATATGAAAAACGTGCTCATAAATACCACTTTTTTACTGAATGGTACAAACTGTTTTCTTCTTTTTCCACTTCCACAATTCCATAATTGCCCCTCCCCACATCTTGTCATACACCAATAACATTAGAATGGTGTCCTAAATTCAATCAAAAAGGAAACATCTTGCTTTTCTCATGATAAACCTGGCTTTGGCGTGTCACTGGGCATGGGGTATTACAGATTCTTTTATTTAGAGTACTTGCATTACTGTATGCCCCTAATAAACACCAAGAAGGCGTGTGCTGGAGTTTTGCTTTGTGCTGTCCTGGTTTATACCCAGGTGTATAAAAGCACAAGTGCCCAGCTGAGTTAATGCCGTTGCATACCACCTTGGCCATATCATTGGACTGGTGCAAGATCACTCACCTGTTCATGTTTCAGCTGAGACCTGATTGGTGTTCATGCAAGAAAAAAATAATAACAATAATTGCTTGTATAGCGATTTCTGGACACTCCACTCAAAGCGCCTTACAGGTAATGGGGACTCCCCTCCACCACCAGCAATGTGCAGCCCCACCTGGATGATGCGACGGCAGCCATAGTGCGCCAGATAGCTCACCACACATCAGCTATCAGTGGGGAGGAGAGCAGAGTAGGACCTCTGTTTTACACCTCATCTGAAGAATGGCACCTGATTACAGTATAGTGTCCCTGTCACTATACTGGGGCATTAGGATCCAAATAGACCGCAGGGTGAGCGCCCCCTGCTGGCCCCACTAACACCTCTTCTAGCAGCAGCCTTAGTTTTCCCCAGGAGGTCTCCCATTCAGGTACTGGCCAGGCTCACACCTGCTGAGCTTCAGTAGATTGCCAGTTGTGAGTTCCAGGGTGATATGACCAGCAGCCATATCGGTTTTCAGTTCTATTGTATTACAAGTATGTGATTCATAAAGCAGCACTGCAGCAGTCCCACAACAGAAGCTGCAGGCCTAACAACAGCTCCCTAACGCCCCCTGTCAGGAAAGTCTTGGATGCTTGCAGTGGAATGTGACTGTGCTCCTGCTGCATCACAAACCTTTTACTTCAGAGGTGTCTAACAATGGACATGCAGAGCCCTGATCCAGCAGGATTTGTAATCTTGCTAGGTAGTATTGTAGCTTTTTATAACCATCCCATTATTGACTTTATGTTATCAAGTAAGCATGTGATAAGTTAAAGTAAAGTATTTCAACACCATTTGGAACAATATTCTGAATACTCTCCAGCCCTGAAGGACAGGAAAGCTTATACTTAGTTGAGCAAACTAAACTTGGGGTGGTCTATGATATAGATTGATACTGCCCTACTGGACTGGAGCTGGATACCCCTGCAGTGGCTTTTGCTGATACTAAAGCCTGCAGACAGATACAGAGTAGCAGAGGTGGGTGAAATTAAACAACGAAGTCCTCCAAAACAAAGATGTCCTGCATACATTTAAAAACAAAAATGTTGGAGAATGTGTGCCGCTTCTTTAGTGTACTGTATTTCAAGTCTGGGGGTTATTTTTTTTTTTTCAGTTTCTGTTTAGAGCAGTGCAACTTCTCATCTGGAAAGTGAAAGCTGAGCCAATGCCTGACCAAGCGGTGAACTGGCTCACCAAATGGCCGTTTGTCACAGGAGTCTATTATGTTAAGACATAGTTCCTACTGCATTCACAAAAGCAAAGATTTCTTGCTCAGTCACAATAATTAGGGAAAACCGTGCGAGAACATTGGAAAAGGAGAACTATTTCAGCCTGTTCACATGGGATCTGATTCTAGATGTGGGGTGTCCAACCCCAGTCCCGGAGGTCAGTGCGTCTCTTAACAAGCTGCCCCAGCTCCTGACCAATCAAACAGCTTCTCCCATCTCCTCTGGTGCTGCTCCTCAAAATGACCAGGAAACCCTGCAGGCACCCTGGCTCTCCAAGGCCAGGATTGGACAGCCCTGATCCAGAGAACAAATGTTCTCACTATCCAGCTTCATAGTGTTTTTTTAGATTTGACCACATGGTGGCGTACGTGACACTTTCAGTTTTCAAGATGATTTCTTACTCCATCATAAACTAATTTAGAAACGGCAGTAAAGAGAAGTGCATAAAGTCATAACGAAAGAGTAATAAGGACATACTCCAAAACCTTTACTCAGTCTCAGACATTGAAATACATACCACTAGAGACATAACAGTTTAGTTTTGCAAACATTTAAATGTTTTAAAAAATGCAAAATGTTTGCCGAATGTGAACAACATTCACATTACAATTACAAATTACAATTTTGTTATTCTCAGAATGTACTAGTACTCTTCTTTAAGAAAATTAAGATACTACTATTTTCTTAGGTATTGTGGAAAAATAAGATATTCATTTCATAAAAGAACAAGTACAGTTTAAGCCTACGCTGAAACGTACAAAAACAAAACATATTTCAGCTGTTGTGCCTTCTTCATACACATGAAGATGACTCCATAGCAGAAATGTTATTTCGTCTTTTTATTTTTTTTAGCATGGACTTAATCGCTACATTTTCCTTTGCAGCCAGCACCCGTTGACACAGAGCTCCCCGCTCAAACTTCCTGAATTGTTCTAGAAATATCTGAAAGTCCAGTGGTATCTTTCTTAAAAACAACAAAGCAGAATCTGTTTGGAGCCCTGTGCGAAATGTTCTGTGCAAGGCTCCGAGTCCTCCTAACGGTAGCCAGTGCTGAAGAAAAGCAGAGCTGCTTGAGAACTGAAGAAAACTTCAAAACAAGAGGACGTCCTTCGGCCCCTCTTGGTTTCGACATTGCTGGGCTGGTCCCAGAGACACACACAGTCTGGACAGCACGGTGCCGGTGAACCAGGTCCCCAGCCCCACACTCGCTCACTGGGCACCACAGAATCAGCCAGTTACCCTCATGCACATCAGAGGGGTGTAGCCATATGTTTCACCACTTGTCCACCTCTTCTGGCCTGAAGAGGACTCTTGTGTCAAGAACTCTGCATGAAGACCCTCAGGTTATAAAGTACAATCAAACCCTTCATCACTAATAATCACTATAAACCAGGTCTTCACAACTGCAGCTGTGATTGACTTACTGGAGGGCCACAAAAACTACAACCTTCATTGATTTAATAACGGGATTCATTTGTACTATTTCATTGTTTTCATCTCTCAGATGTGTTGGAGGCCAACTTTTGACTGCTGTGTTGCAGAGATAACTTACAAATTCCCGACTTTTGAGTAGAATTTTTTTTCTTGCAAAATAAGGTGCTTGTGAGCTCAGCTACTGTAAGTGTTCTGCAAGTTAAAGAGTCTGGTGCGAACGAACAACAGCAGCTGTCTGGGCATCCAGGACCAGAACTAGGATCCCCTGTTGGAAGTCATGCTACATAATGCAATGTATTAAACCCAACTGCACCAACTGTATATGAAAACTATAAGCTTTGATAGAAAAGATCCACTAGGTTGCAGCACTGATTTTCCACACTGGGAGTGTGATTTCCCTCTTTTAATACATTAATACAATAATTACAAATTACAGTTCTCAAATACCCAAGTACTTCATTCATTGCATCGAAATTGATCACTCAATTTCAATTGATAAAGAAACTGGTGACTAACAACAATAATAATAATAAAAACCCTCACGAATGTAATAAATACTTGCATTTTCATGCTGTTCAACCCAAAGGACCCACTTCACTTGTCTCTGAACTTTTTAAAACAGCTACGCTTCACGAACCCGTCACCTACTTCTAAAACCCTCCTGCACACACCGCTCAACAAACCGCCTCTTGTGAAAGAATGCAGGGAGTGGTGGTGGGGAGAAACATCAATTTTTTTTTTAGCGTTACGTTTCAGATCTTTTTAGAAGAATCAGCCGCGGCCACGGCTTATCACCGCTGAAATAAGGACCCGATGAAAGTGCGGTCTTGCCCTGTCGCCCGAGCGAAGGGTCGGCTCAGCAGCCCGCTCGCCGCCCAGCTGCAGCAGTTTGTTTATCCCGCCAGTGGCCCATGCTGCTCCATTGCTGTGCACGAGAATACGAGGAGTGGAGCGTGCCGCCGCGCAGGCGCCTTGCATTGTTTTGACTGAAAATGCCGTCGGTTTCGAAAACGGCGGCGAGCGCTTCTCCTCAAACCGAGAAACCAACCCACTACACGTAAGTAAAAGCCAAAAATTGAAAGCGCGGAAAATTGCATTAAAAAAAAAATTCTACGCCGGGGTGCCAGTGGTCGCAGCAAACCCACAGCCTCGTAGATTCGGGCACCCGGAGTGGGTTTAAAAATGGTGCTTTTTTCCTTTTGTAAATTCTTCCCGAATACACGTAAGTAAATAAAAAAGACACATTTGAACAAAGCGCAGCGAGCTAAACTAGAGAAAGCAGCTGGCCTGTAATAGCGGAGCACCCTGTAGCACCCATCAAACGCTAACCTGCGCCAGTTTGTTTGCAGAATCGGCAGCTAAGTTGCATTTTTACTTTTTTATTTTTCCTTCTTCCATCTCGGCCTGATTTGCTGAAGTCCCTACGTGTCTTTCTCGACGTACGTACCAATAGCTAGAACTGCTCTTACGGACCAAATCTGGCGTAAGTCCTATCGAAATAGTAATGTATCGTGAGCGCAGGCAGTGGAGTTTTGGGCAGCATGGAGTAACATTTCTTGCAACAATGAGCGACAGTAAATTTTGGATTTGGTTAAGCGGAATTTTTCAGTATTTACGTGTTCCCCGGTCCTCTTGCGATTGTACCGTTAGTTCAGAATCACGAAGCGTGTCTTTTTACAGCCGAAACACGAGAGTAACGTTGCAGTCGTGAAGGGAATTGGGTATTTTAAAAATGAGGGTTTTTCCGAAATGATACGAAAGCATATGCATGCTTTTTACGGTCGGTCGCGTTCTAAGCATAATAACCTGTGGAAGTTTAAAGACTAGAAATATCATCAAAGATCATTTTTGCCTTTTTTAAAAAGATCATGTTTTTAACGGTGGTTTCCAATACTTTGCAGCTATTTAAAGGAGTTCAGGACGGAGCAATGCCCTCTTTTCTTACAACACAAGTGCACCCAGCATAGACCGTTCACTTGTTTCCACTGGCATTTCCTAAACCAGCGGCGGAGGAGACCTATCAGGAGACGGGATGGGACTTTTAACTACAGCCCCGATGTTTATTGTACAAAATACGACGAAACTACAGGCATCTGCCCGGACGGAGACGAGTAAGTTATCGGCTAATTAAATTAACGGATGCACTTCAATGTGCGCCCCTTTCTCTGTTAATAATAGGCATTATGATTGATGGATGTTGATATTTGATGTTTTTATTGTTCGACTGGAATAGGCGGTGTTTGTCAGTGCTTTTGTTTCTAACTAGGAAATGCACAATAGCGGAGTTTTACATTTGTGCTGTGTGGTGCTTTCCAGTCTACGTGGTGTCTTGTAATGCTGATTGTAACGTCTTAATATGAGTAAGGTTTCCGAGAATACACCGGATGTGTTAAAAGAGATCATTTACGTATTTTGGGTAATATGCACACAGTCGTGGGGATTTTTTTGTAGCGATTTTCTGCCTCGGATCCACTTTATTTTCAAATGGTGTATTTCGGCGATAGGCGCCTTCTATTGCTCGCGTTTTGGAGAATCGATATGGCGTGGATTGAGATAGTGTCTGCACCAGGAGAAATTCAGTAGCTCACAGCACCGTCTTCCAGCTCTTCTCAGACAATCGTGGTAACACACACCCCCGTCTTCAGCGCATCCGCACGAGAGGTGCAAGCAGAGGGGTAGAAAATGCATCTGGATGCACGGTTTAGAGTGTTTGGAAGAGGGCAGCCCTTACAAAAAGAGGATCTGTTTGTTTCCTACCCTGAGAGCGGACTAGGTGTTAAACGCGCGTGCAGCTTGGCTCGCAGCCGTGGCCATTGTTCTGCTGCGGAGCGCGCGCACCCCTCTGCCATGCTCGCGAGCTGCGTCGGGGTTTGAACACTCGGGCTGCTGGGGCTGTCGGATGCGGAAGTTATGTCCGCTTTGTGTGTTACTGCGGAGATTTTGCCGTGAAACGCGAGCCTTGTGAATCCAAAACCGTCTACAATTCTCGTAGAAACGAGAATTTTAACCCCCCTCCCGGAAAAAAAACATTTTTTTAATTTAATTTGAGCCGTCCTTCATCTTTACAGACCAAGGCTGGCAGACAGACACACCCCCTTTCTTTCTCGGGTCTTGATACTGCTTCGTTATGAGCTAACAGGGGAAGTGTTTACCATTCCTTTGCCTTGTGTAATTAAAGATAACACCCACGCCTGCTATTGGTCACATGCTGACATGAAAACGTTGGATTTAGTTTGTCGTTTTATGCAGTAAAGCCTACTTACCTTTACAAACTCCGTGGCAGTGGAGTGCACGTTAATTTTAGCCTTTGGCTACAAAATAAAACAAGGTTAACGTAAGAACAGTAGTTTCCACTTGAACTGGCTTATCTCCTGCCAGGTGAAGTTTATTTAGTACCTCTGTAGCAATGGATTACATATGTTGTCGAACATTTGATGAAAGACGCTGTAAATTGTTTTATTACAGTGGATTTGTTATTTTCATTGAAAAACGAATATCTCCATACCACAAAATATGTACAACTTCTGCTTGTTTCCTTTGTCGTCCTGGCGTCTCATTTGTTCTTCAGTTTACATGAGCTTTGATGTTCATTTGGTGTACTAAAAATGTGAAGTGATCTCTACTGATAAATAAAAAAGCAGAATCAAGCAGTAATATTGGATAAGAGAATATGGCTGTACTGAAGAGCTGAAAGTTATCCTGCTCTTTTTGCAATTAAGGGAAGTTGTCAGGTGTGAGCAGTGGCATCGGCAATGATGTGCTGGACTATAATGCAACAATTTCATGGACATTCCTAAATGGAGCAATATTGACTCTGCTTTATTAAAGGGTGGAGGGGATATCTGGCACTTAGAAAGTGAGCAGTCGTTAGGAGGGCTTTGTTTTTGGTTTCTGCCTATTCTAAACATTTCAGTCCTTCAAAGTAGTGAATGGTAACAGTGGAAAGGTAGATTCATCGGGCCTCCTCTGTGAAAGCTCACTTATACACTGGTTGTTTGTGTGCATAAAGTCTCCAGCGATGCCACTAATCAATTGCTTTCCCCACAAGCAACAATGGCATTGTGAGTGCCAACGACATCATGAAAGGGTTAAAAAGTACGCAACAATACACCTGTCTGTGCATCACGACTTGGACACGACTGAAATCAGCAATTTGGCTAAATTAGAGGTTCCCAATCCTGTTTATGGGTTTGTTTTTCCACCCAGCTACTCAAATAATTGACCCGTTATATGACTTCTTGAACCTAATGTGACTTCTTTGACCTCTTTGATTTTCTGTTCCTAAACAAGTTGGATGCCGACTTTTATGCAGCTTGTTGGTTCAAGTCAGAGATCATGTCAAATAAAGAGCTCAGCTGCAATGAAGTCCAGCAGGTATGTGGATCCACAGATCCAGGACTGGGAACATCAGCACTCCTGTTGTATCTAGATGGGGGACTGGGTTTTCGGTTCACTTCAGCTGGAAATGACTCATGTTAGCAGTCTTGAAGAAGAGGGAAACCCTCAATCCAATTTCCTTATAAGAATAAATTGCAGTAATTCATGGAGCCATGTTATCATATCTTTTTGTTCCTGTATATAATCTTCCTCGGTGCTGCTTTGATGTTTCTTGCACTGTATGTTTAATATATGTGCCTTCCAATAGCATTCACCCCTTCCAGTGATGTCCCATTTTAATGAATTACTAATGAGGAATTTACATTATTTCAGAAGTGAATATTTTTAATCAAATGTTCTATAAAAAAATTAAGACAGAACAAGAGCAAAAATTGCTGAAATATTTATTGCAGAAGTCTTTGCTATAGAATCCTATATTAGTTGTGTAATTCGTCAGAGTAATTTTGGTCACCTGAGCTATTTGAAGAGCCTGCATGTGGAATAATAAAGGATTGTATGATTTCAGACTATACAGGTACATTAAATCGGATATGACATTTCAGTTTTATACAGGTCACCTAAAACTAAGAACAAAGTAAATGAACGTCTCACAGTATGTTGTGTTCAATCGTATTAAATTAGGTGGTCTCTAAGCCTGATCCTAGTGAGCAGTCCAAGATTAAAGAAAGATTGTTAATCATGTGTAATTAATGGGATAATTGGTTAATTGGAATGATAGCCAGCCAGCTGGATGACTGATTTGAATCCCCCATCTTGTCTGAATCCTGTACTGATGGTCTCTCAAGGCTGTTCCTCTGAGGAGCCTGTCCTACAGAGCGCAGCAAGAATTGGAGATGGTTTCATTTCCTTTTTTCCCCCCAACTCGATGTGGGCTCCGCTCAAGATGTCGCGCTGTTGTCAATTTTGGTTCTTTTTGTCAGGATGTTTTCAACAGCTCCTAAACAGTATTACTAATATACACATATGAATACTTTATGCACCATGGGGTGGCATAAAGTCACTGAAGCAGAGAGGTGCTGAACACTTAATTATTTTTTTCTCCTGAGCTTTTGAACTGAATCACAAGTACAATAGCCATACAACCCAACCGCTTCAGCCCGGTTTCTCAACACAATCGATAATGCAGAAACAAAGTGCACGGTTAACATCAAGCCATAAATCTGTCCCCAACGGCTCTCGCCTCCAGCAGTGAGAAGCCGGAGTGCTTTGTAAAAGCCATCAGACTCTTGCCTCCTATGCCTGTCCTTTCACAGCGGCCCAGAAGAAGTTACAGTAGTGGCTTGTGGGCTCCTGTGATGCCCAGGTCTTGGTGTGTGAGGGCTCTTGAGGAAAACCAGTGTTGTAAAACTACAGGTGCCCAGGGGAACTCTGCTTCAGGGGACACTGTGGTTCTGTGTTCTGGAACTGCTACTAATCCTGTCATGATTGGTCTCTGCCTGCGATTCCCGCAGAGCTGCTTTGAAAATGAAGTTCCTGCTGATTAAAGGGCTGTTGGTTGTGTGGTCGGGGAGGTACTGCAGGAACAGCGATCTGGGCGTCGGACGTAGCCGCCAGTTCTCCTTGGGCAAGGAGACCATGCGGTTTAGAAAACTTTAATCCATGACTCTTTCTTCCTCGGAGGAGATGCATAGAATTAGTCTCTAGCTTGACTCGAAGTAGCATGATATAATTGTGTGCTCACAGGGGACGCTTCTTTTACACGATTAACAGGAAAATCAGTTACGGGGGAAACAAATGGAATTCCCACTCCCAGTGTTATTTATGATCCTGTCTTGAGTTTCGTGAACTGTGGGACTCTTGTGCTAAGCATGCTCAGGAACAGACAAGAAAACAATTCATTCCCGTCTTTGCCACCTCTTTCTGAATGTAAAATTCCCCAATATGAGGGAAAGGGTTTTTAAATTTTACTGGTACAGAGGCAAGTTATGTTTATCTGTGGAGTCTGTGTAACTGAGGTGGGCAAAGCTCCCCATTCTACTCATACTGGACAAAATCTTAGGAACCCCCTTTCAAGCCACGTCTTGGAGTTAAAGTGCACGAGACTTCCGGGCTGCGGCAGGAGCGAGTCTCTGCGGCCATCAGCCTTTCCCTGGGCAGGACAATTCTGAGATCGCGGTCCTGCTGCAAGCTGTTGGAACTGGCTGAGAGTGTATTTCAGCCCCGCACACCTGCAGAGAGGACTGTGCTTGAGGGACGTGCTGGCTAATTACCTCACTTACCTCATTAAGCAAATTATTTTGCATAATGTCAGACCACTTGTGTTCTTTGATCTCGATCGGGTGCTAATTGAGACAAATGTATAAAAGCCCTGGCTGTCCCTGGGCAAGGGGTATGAGATCCAGATGTGTGTCCTTCTCACCCGCTGTTGGCTTGTGAAAGAGCCCGCAGCCTGTAGATCAGACTCACGGGTGTGTTCGGGCAGTACTCAGTGGTCAAGCTCAATAACACGTTTATCATCGCAGGAAAGAAGATTGTGTTGAGCAGGGTTAGTTATTTGTTATTGCTCTGCTCGGACACAGTTCGCTAGAGCTCTAAGTAATCTTTCAGTGCCTGATGATGCCTTTACCTAGAGCCCAGCAATTTTACCTGCTGTTTAAGTGGTACAAAAACAGTGTTTTAATGGCAGTACACAAGTGTATTTCTGCATGCTCTGTGTCAAGTTCAGCACTGGGTGTTATGCAATAAAAATAAAATGTTCAGTTGGAGTCATTTGGCAAACGGGGTGAGAGAGAGAGGCAGACGGCTGAGATTTTGTTTTTAACTAAAGGCTTTCTAAATATTACTAAAATGACCCGCTGACCCAAGATAACATTGGCCTCACATGCCAGTTAGTTCTTTTTCCCAGACTCAAACCCCGTATTTTGAAATGCTGCCTCTCTGTAGTCAGCGCTGTTTTATTTACTCTTCTCTTAAAAAGAGCCTCAACTTTGGATTAGTGCACAATCTGTGACAAATCGCAGATGGGTTTATTTGGCATTTTAATACAGGCACCGAAAAGCTGCGTTCCCTCTTGACATAATGGTTGTTGCATTTTTGAGCTCCCTCCTCTGCCATCTTATTGACCCAGCCCGCAATCAGACTCGCTATATTGACGCCCAGGGAGTCTGCATCTACTCGATTAAACCCTTGTGTCGCTACTGTGCGGTCTGCAGCCCCCGTATAATGGCCAAGGCCGGGGATAAAAGAGGCGTTGATAAGCCTGGGCGAGAGGCTTTGATGTGTGAATGGCTGATGGTGCTCACGGAGTCGCTTCAAGCGCTTCTGTGGTAGGACTAAGCAAGCACCTGCTGGCAGCGGAGACAGAGGAGGACTTGTGCTGCATAGAGGAACACTGGCAAAGCTTTCGGAAGTCCACTGGGCCCGCTGGCACTGCACAGCACTTGGCCATCCTCCTCGGCACCAGACCGGGCTCGGAACATGCTCTCTCACAGGCATTAGAAAGGGGTTAGTCAATCGTTTGCCTGTAAGTAGTAATATGTATATACAGCTGCATTAGACATGACTTTGGTCTTTCACGCTTAGAAAGGTTGCAAAGTGAGGAGAGTGCGCCTGTCTAGATCATTTGGTTATCAGTAGGGATCTCATCCAGCCTTTCCTAAAAGAAAGTTTAGTTTCCGGCTTCAACAGCATGGCTTTTGTGTGGGGAAAAATTGACTCCCTTTCTCCGGTTTTAAATCCACTTCTTATTTTTTCCCATTTAATTTAAGTCAAGCAATGTCACAATTGTGTATACTTTTCAGAATAAGGTCCTAGTAGTGCACTTCACCGTTTTAACAAAGCTTGAATTGATTATAATTTAACAATTTTCACATTGTCATTTTTTAATGTATTTTTTGTGAGTAGGTTTTAGTCTTCATTGAGTCCTTGCCATGCATTTGCCCAGTCTTGAATTGTACCAAAGTCTTTCTGAAATTGCTTTGCAGCTTTACAGTTTGTAAATGTGTAGTGGCACATCCTACACGCATGGTAACTCAAGGTCTTCCTCCAAGTGATGAACAGATGTTTCAAGGTATTGAGGCAATGGAATGGTGGCTTTTAAGATAAGAGTCTAAAAATGTCATGATCTTTATACTATTTTTAATGAGTATCAAAACAATGTAAAATGTTTCTGATTGACCTTGTAGAGCCTGCAGCTTATACATCAATGAAACAGGATCAGGATCTGACTGCTTTGATTTGTTTTCCCCCTGGCATTTCACATTTCTAAACAAATACCATTTCAGAGTTAACAGGAACAGGAACAAGATCCATCCATCCATTTCCCCCCAATTGCTTTTATCCAAGCCAGGGTTGTGGGGGACCCAGAGTCTATCCCAGCAAGCAGTGGGTGCAAGGCAGGGTACACCCTGGACAGGACGCCAGTCCCTCGCAGGGCACACAGACGCAAACGCGCACACCAGGATCCGTTTTTAACAGAAACCAATAAACCTGAAATGTCAGGTTGCAATCATGCGATCATGGGGAGAAAATATAAGCTCTACGCTGATAGCACTCAAACCCAGGGCCTAGCAGTGCCAAACACTGCGCCACCGTACTGCCCCAGGGGTAGGCTCCATTTACTTTTTCTGCTAGCAGAGCTTTAACAGCTCCCAAGAAACCACACTGTATCTTACATGGGATCTGATACAACAGGGATACAACGGAAGTTGATTGTAAATTGAGCCTGTCAGGTTAATTTAGCCTCGGCTCAGGCAGCTGCTGTGCATCTGCTTGTGAGTGATAGTAACGAGACATGAGCAGAGTGGCTCTAAAGCGGGGAACCCCTATATTTGGTGCTAATTAGCTATTTCTGCTGTGTTTTATTTTGTTTTTGGTTCCTCTCAATTGCTGAAATGAGACCAACTTCTCTCATACTCACTGGGCCTCAGCGCAAAATGTTTTTTTTTACAACCATTTTAATTCTTCATGCCTTTTTTTTTTACTGTGCTTCTTAAAGAGGGTGCAGCTGCTTCAGAAGTTTTCAGTGCATTAAGAGACTTCAAAAGGTTGAATAAATGAATAGATTAGCTGTGCATCTGCATCTACCTAAAAATAGATCTTTTTTTTTCCGTATCAAGGTCAGTGAAGTTTGGAGCTGCTGGTAGCTGATAAAGCGCTTTTGCAACGTCGGAGTTTTAGGCCTGTTTTGTAGTGTGTGAAGTTGATTTTCACCAGCAGAATATTGTAGCGCTCTCGGGTTCAAGTGGGTATGCGCCCTCGCCTCTGCTGCTGCCTCAGGTCGGCCCCCCCACCGTCGGAGACTCGAACCCAGGCTTCCGGCGTCATCCAACAGGGACCCAGCCACTTGAGCTGAAGGTAAATCTCTATCAGCCCGACCGACTGCGGTCCCTGCTATTCACAGGGAAGGGTGGTGACGTCACCGCGCCGGTAAGCCGGCTCACACAACCTGCAATGGTGGCCGTATGCGTTGCAGTATAAAGGGCTTTAGTTTCATCTCTGGTGATCTGACATGCTGATTGTAACAAGATGGTTTTTTGTTGCCAGATTTAAAAAAAAAAAGTTTCTTCTTTTTGTCCAATTGAAAAATCTGTGATCACTTTATTGCATGGTCTGAACACCACAGAGCATGGTCAGGTATTAAGGTGGCAGGGCCCCTGAGCTTGTTTCAGTGTATCTTTGTAGTTTTGCTGTCGCTGAGCTGCGCGGAGCTCCACCGCTACAGTTGGCGACGAGAGCTGGCCAGGCTCTGCGGCAGGGCGTGGTGATGGACCCCTGGGGGTCCACATTGGGGGGGCTTGTGGGTTGAGAGCTCACGCGGGACGCTGCCGCTCTTTGAGCCTTGAGCGAGGTGCAGCACAGATCTGCACAAGTCGTCTTGTAAATGTAAATTAGGTTTCGGTTGACTTACCTGCTAAAATATATAATAAAAGGCAACCATATTCCCTTTCTCCATGAAAGATCATTTGTTGTAACCAATCATTTTTGCTTGTTGACTTGCCAGGTTTGTTTTTTTGTTTCTCTTCAGTGTAATTTGTCAAAGACGTGAAATGTACACTCACTATTACACACAGCTTTTCTGATGCCTTTTATTTTATTTGTTCTGAGACCGTCATGACATTTATTCTTCAGTGCCTCCTGGTTTGGTCTCGTAGATCCGTTAGCAGAGCGTCAGGCGTGAATCAAGCTGCTCTCGGGCTGCGTCGCTCTCTCGGGTTCTTGACGTGAAGAGGAGCCTAGTCGCTGAGGAATGTTTCTGTGACCCTTCCATCTTGAGCAGATTGGTCTTGTCGGGATAGTGAGTGCCTCTCCCTTTGGAAACAGAAGGTGCAGGTGCAAGAGCATGTGTTTTCTCTCACACTGGGGGCTCCTTGGCCACGCTGTCAGTGAAGGGCTCCTAGGCTCAACAGTGATGGAATAAAGGTAGAAAGCGCACCAGACAAGGAAATGAGCACAGCGTGGTTGCCGCCGGTTCAAAATACACAATCTGCAATTCTGCAGTGCGGCGGCCGTGTTTTGTTTGCTGCGTGCTTGTTGTGTTCGCTGTGGGTTATGTGGTTCGCCATGTATCGGTGCTCTATAGGAAAATCAGCCAGAGGCAGAGATCTTAACTGCGCCGTGTCCTCGCTGCGATCCAGGGACACTTGTCCCGAGAAGATCAGTAAGTGGGGAGCGGGTGCGAAGAGGGTCCGCACTGCCGAGACTCGAGCAGCTTGTCTAAGGGGGGAGAACGAGTGTCTCCCCGCTGCTTGGAGGGCAAAAATGTGATTGTTCTAAATCGCTTTAACTAGGAATCTCTCTTTCTGTGCTGCAGGCCACAGTGTGCTCATTTTCTTTCCTTTGATTTCTTATTAACACTTATCCGCTCCGGATGGGGTGTCAGCTGACCTTGGTAAGCATTTTCTGGTTCCTTGTATTGCTCCATATAGCCTATGGATTTGCACTGGGTTTTAGAAATAAGATAATAGTTTTTAGGCCAGATGAGCAGATGTATTTTTAAAAAAGTGCTGGAGAAGTTCTGGGGTACAGGTGAATGTGTGTATTTCAACGACACAGCTATGTCTCTTCCCCTAGACCCCAGCTCGCCTGTAATGTTTTCTTTAGATAATGTAGCATCATGGATCCCCCACCTGGCAGATTGTGGGTGCAAAAAAGAACACGTGGGCGGGCCATTTGTGCCCACGTTCTGTTGGGGACCCAGTCAATCCATGTAAACTTGGGGAGAACATGCAGTCTCCACACAGAGGGTATCCCAGGGCTGAATCGAACCCAAGGACTTGGGAGCTCTGAGGCAACAACACCCACTTCCAAATCATTAAGCTTCCCCCCAACCCCCCTCCCCCCCAGGCACATCAGATTTTGAATGCAAGTGCTTTGTGTAGCTAAACTGACAGACTACCGCTCTTCTTTTTGTTTTGTGAACGTTCATTTTTAGTAAGACGCAGGTTCTGAAAAAGTAGGATCAAGTTCAAAGCCTGGGTCAAGACATCCCAGCCGGGTGCTTTTGGAAGAGATGGGTCCTTTTGTTTGTGCTTCCACTAAGGGAGCCACTGAGGGTCTGCTTTTGCAGATGAAATGGGGGGCAACACAGTGGTGAGGGGGTTAGCAGGGCTGGAGCTCGGGTTCGTTCCTCCACCTGGGATGATCACCTCTGTGGAGTTTGTATGTTCCTCCAGATGCTCTGGTTTCTTCCTTCAGTCCGAAGATGTACTGGTAGGTTAATTGGCTTCTGGAAAAAGCAAAACTGGCCTTGATGTGAGTGTATGCGTGTCTGTGTCCTGCACCTGCGTGATGGACTGGTGTCCTGCCCAGAGCGTTCCCCACCTTGCATTCATTGCTTGCTACGGTAGGCTCCAGCTCCCCCATTGCCCTGGACAGGTAGAAAAGGTTCGAAATTGGATGGATGTTGAAATCCAGCCTTTTTATTTGCACTGAATTTCAGGTAGTCTTATTGGCACCTCTTCTTTAGAAGAGCCTTCACTCAACTGGTTCTGTTCCTTACCCATCAGCTCCTACTGTATTCAGTACCACCGTCTTCTGTCTCCTCTCATTGTGCAAATGTTGTATTTTTATGTTTTTAATTTTTTTATAGTGTTGTCGTCCTGTAAAGGGCTTTGAGAAGACATTTAAACGTGCTACATAAATAAAGATTATTATTATAGAGGCTGGTAGGCCCTGGAAAGCAGGCTGTGCTGTGGCCCTTGTGGGGGAAAGGAGTGGTGTGAGTTTGACAGTAACAGAATTTCGTATTTAATTCAGGCAAACAGTCCTTCCAGCTGAGTTCGACCAGCTGGTTGACGGCAAGTTTAGAATGCAATCAGCGTTCTGCAATTTGCAGAATGGAATTTGTTTCTGTGACTCAAAATAGTATCTTATGTAAATTAATACAGATTTCAGTGTAGGACTTCAAGGCATAATTCTTCCTACATGCAGTAGACGCCCTCACTTGCTCCTGGCTGACTGTGCTGAGGGCTCATCTTCGGGTTTAGCTGCATGTTTCTGAACGTTGGTTTTCCTCTGTCTGATCCTGTTTGTGCTGGGAGGCCCAATCCTTCTGCACTGGTCTTTATTCGAAGGCTTGTAATAGGTAATCTATGCTTGCCTCAGACATGACTGTTACTGTTGCTTTTGCCAGCTGTCTGGAAGGTGATTGCAGGACTGTAAATGCAGGGTTTCAATCAAACTGAACTTGGCTGCTCGGTGCAATTTGTAAAACAAACGTGGTGACGTTTTTGCAAAAAAATCAATAATACTTGCTTACCTTGTAGTATTCTGTCATGGTGCTGTAACTAGTGTTGCACGGTTTTCAGGGAAATACCCAGGTCTAGCAGAGGATGTTTGCAGGTCTCAGCAGTTTCCTCCCTACATTGTTTCTCTTGGCTTCATTGACTGAATCTGATGCTGCTGCAGTATAAGATTATTTTATTTTAGTGAAAGTGAAACTCAAGTGAATCATATCGCACTGTCCTTTTTTACGTTTTGAGAGTGCTCTGTATGTTTAGAAAATAGCTTTTCCTAAAATCAATTTGCCAGTGAAGGAAGTCAGTTTTTTTTGTCTGTTTTGTCTATATGTGGCTCTGCCTTTATCTCCGAATTATTCCAGCCTGTAAAAATGCTGGTCTCGGTTCAGGCTTTTCCTATGCAGTGTCATCCTTCAAGTAGTTGAACTTTGTAACCTCTCCTGACTGCTTAATTGAGATAAACCAATCTCTGTGCATTTGTCAAACATGAACTTGTCATTCTTTCACAGTTCTGTTAATTTGTAGTCACATTTTTAAGGGATAGGGTAATTTGCAGCTTTTTTTCTGCTACAAGTTGCTTTTGCAGGAGCGTCACAGTGTTGGAGCCAAGTCAGTTTTATAAGCTGTTTTTGTTTGGTTTGGTGTGGCGATCAAGCACCTCTGAGGAAATAGTGTCCTTCAGTAACAAAACCCAGGAAACGGCAACAGCAGCAGCATGAATGCTTGAAAGTTGGATATTGTGTCTCCAAAATAATTAATCTTGTTTTAACGTGCTGTTTCACCTCAGTGCTTTTTTTCCCTCTTAAACTCAGAATATCTTGGAACAGGCCTTAAATATCACAGTCAGTCCTTGGGACACCTTCAAGGTTCAAGCGGTACTGATGGGGAAAGGCACTTATTAAGGGTGCAGGTTACAGTCCAGGCATTGCTGGGTGCTTCCCTGGGTCACGTCAGGAGCCCATGTCTGGGATACCCTGAGTGGCAAAGCACCACCAGGGCTGGGTAAATATTCTTACCTATTCGGTGCAGCTTTAGTTCATCTTTTAATATCTTCTTGGAAAAAAAAGGCGCTTCCTGAGAGCTGGAATGATTGGCATGTATTTGAACGCATATAAAGAGCCAGCCATGAGAAAGGGGGCTGTGTTAGCTCTGGGTGAGGAATCGGACACTGCTAGTTTTGCTTATCAGGCAGCACTCGGATTGAGCAGCAACACAGTGCGATTCCTCCTCTGGGTGCTGGGGCTGGTGTTGAAAGACTTGGCTGGAGCTCTTTCAAGAGATTTATGTTCCATATGACGGGGGGGTATGAATATAGCCGGAATTGTAAGTTTGGAAATGAATGGCGAGACTGCTCTGACAGGGCACTCCACTGCTGGAGCAGCGTTCATGGCAGCAAAGGGGTGCAGCAGACATCTCTCTAAGAGCTGCTGTGCTGCAGTACAACTGTGAGCTGTAGATCACGGGAAGAAATTATTTTCCAGTCACATGATCATTTAAATGATCGTCCTCTCAGCTTGTGATTTTTACTATAGTTTGGGTTTCTTGGCTTGGCTATTGGCAGTATTTCTTGTTTGATTTTTAAACTTTGCATATGGAAAGCCAGGAAATAAAACCCCAACTGAATTGGCCTTTTCTTTGTTGAGCTCTGACCTGCAGTGTGCCCCAGCATATAGTACGTACAGTATGTGGGAGGAATCTCAATCTAGCTGTGCACATTTAGGAGTCTAAATGCTTTCTAAAAGTTATTTTTCTTTTGTTCAAGCAGCACTTTCTCACTGTTAGGTTTTTAAAAATACAGTTTAGGGCGATTGATTTTAAGTGGATTAGGCTAGAGGGCCATAAAAACGTACTCATCAGTGAAGACCCCCCAACATTAAATTTGTAGTTCGTATCACAGGGAAATTGACCATAAAAGTTCAAATATCCTGGGCAGCACTGAGGTGGTATGACAGCTGATTCAATTCGCTGCTCCAAAGCTGCGGTTGAAAAAGCTCTTTGTAGGTGTTGCAGAATTTAGGTTGCTCTATTTCAGTGTTTACAGCATTATCTCTTTCCATCTTCAGCTCCTCTGTTATTCCCTTACCCTAGCTATCCCTCTAGCTCATTGTTTAAAATTTCGAAGGATTCTCTTGTGCAGTGCCAGCAAAGAATTGCAGGTGTGCCCGAGAACAGCAGAAATCCAAATTACATTGACCGGTTTGGTCAGTGTAGCTCCCAGATTCCTTCTGGATCTGTGTCATGGGCACCGGCACACCTGGCACCTGGTAATTTCCAAAGACCAGACCTAAAGCCGTGTCTCAGCTCTTGCTTTTTAGGGTGAAGCCTGTACAGAGAATCCAGTCCAGAAGTCATTAGTTTTCCTTCTCTGCTCCTCAAGAGTCTACGCTATCAGTGCATGGGGTGAGTGAGGTTTTCTTACCCTGTTAAACATGGGTGAAGTCTGGATGAAGCCGAAGAATATTGAAATATCTTCGAGTCCTAGATCACTGAAAAATAAGATGTCTCTCTCCCCCACTCATTATGACAGCTTGCCTTGATGTCCTCAGCAGCGTTGCCATGGCTACCGTTTCTGTGAGAATGAGCTGCTGTGGCTTCTGTGCAGTTTATCAGTCACCCAGTGCTCTCAGCATCAGTCCCTAAAGCTGCCATTTATGTTTTGTGATTTTGTTGTTTTTTTAACCCACATACTTCTGCCTCTCCTCCATGAGCAATGGAGTACAAAGCCTGCGTTGTGAGAGGTCCCTCAGTTTTGCAGCGCGTCTGACATCATTCATAGTTGTTGTTTTTTTACATTTGAAAACAACCAGGTGATTGAGAGTCATTTTGTAGTTTGCATTGAGGTGAAACGTTGAGGTTTCCGCCCCCTGAAATAAACCAAAAATAGGCAATATTGTCACCCCAACCCAAAAGGAAACATTCGGTCTCTTTAAAAACAATATACCATGCAGTCAAGGCTAGGAAATGGATAGATGTTTAAAGCCTACTCTGTTAGGCAATCCCAGTATTTAAACCAGTTAAGGTCTACTCCTGAGTGCAGATTGGGTTTTAAAGTCAGTCCAGAGGTTGCTGGTCCGAGCCTGAACTGTGCATGGGATTATCCGTATAGCTGGTTGGATTGCTGCTCAGTGGCACCCCCTTGTGGCTTGCCAGCAGGCTTGCAGCCTTCTTGCTCAGAGCTCCATGTCTTCTTGGACCGATGCCCCAGCCTTTTGACTGGCACTGTAGGAGGCACCAATCGTGGAGGGGGAGTGGAAGTAGGAGGCAGGTGGCCTGACAAGGGCACATTTCAGAGGATACAGTCCATGCTGTGCTGGCTGGCCTGTGGATCGTAGCTGTCATCTTAAATCATACCTGACTCACAAATTACAGAAGGAATGAAAATGGGGGCTCAAATAAGTAGCTTCTAAGCTCAGACAATAGCAAGCCATTTTTCTAATGTCCGTGGGCTCAGGCTTGTCTTAGCTCTGTACTGGACACAGCTTCACAAGCTGTTCGAAGAGAGGTTGTCTTAAACGAAGATGCTTTCCCGACACTCCTGCGAGTGTAGGAGCTCAGTAGGAGCTTTGACTGAGAATCTTGGTGTTTGAGCTAAAGCTCTTGGATCAGTAGAGAAGACCTACAGCGATGCCCCTGGGTTGACAGCTTCAGAAACAACAGAGCTGAAGTGAATTTTGGTTCACAGGGGCAGAGCTGAGTAGTAGGGATGCTGTTTTTAGTGTGTCGGCCCCTGTGAGTGAGAGGGACAATATGTGGCTGTCACTTGTATTCATGTTCTTAAGCCTTGCAGTGCTGTGAACATGGCATGATAGAAAACAGCCTGTCAGCAGTGGGTTTTTCTCGCTGACCCTACAAATCAGGAGCAACAAGCTGATAGCATGTGTGCTATCCACAGAAACGGACTCCAGATGCACAGCGGTGTGTTCCACTTTGGGTTTTTCCAGATGGTTACTCTCCAGATTGTATTGGTAATGCACAAAGGCAACAGTTTGAGTATCATGTCTTTTTCACATCTGTCCGAGCAAATGCATTCACGTTTCAAAAGATCCAGCACGAGGTGTTGGCGTAGGCACTGGAGGTCGTTCAGCTACGCCAGCTGTCCGATCTGTCTCTCCAAGAGTTTTTACTGTGTTCTGCCTCCCATGCCCTGCAAGTGCTTGAAGATCACTGCTCTTGGAGTGCGTTAGTGAAGCAGGAATTACTCGATCGCTAGTGGTGGCGTTTTTTTCATCTTGCATTCTGATGAGCCAGGAAATAAGATGCTGTTGGCAGAGCTCCAAGCCCAAACTATGTGAAAAGCTGCAGGCGCTTAGTGTGGCAAAGAGGAAAATCAGCCACTGTTTCCTTTCACACGGGGACCTTGTGACTTAATACACTTAAACGGATGCAGGGTCAAAAGCCACTGCATTTGACTATGCAGACCTTCACTTAACAGCTCCCAGAAAGGCTTAATAGCTCAGCTGGTAGATTGAAGGACTGTAGTAATTTAACAGGCAAGTTGATGTCCTTTTCCTAACCTTACGACTGGGTCATGTCAGAAGATTAGAAGAAAGCTTTAGAAACAAGGTAATGTTGGGCCCTTATTGAACGGTGATGGGCAGCTCCTAAGGAAAATACCAGTTGGTGATGCTCTTTCCTCTGAACCAGAATTTCCAGTAATGCGACTGGCCTAAGTAACACTCAAGAAGTTACTGAGGTCCCTACTTCCTTGGTCATTTAAGATCCCATGACCCTGTTTGTAAAAGTAGTGTTGTTAAATTGTCCTGACAAAACTCCACTCTGGCTTCGCTGAAGGTCCTCCTTAATTCAGTTGAAGTAATTTCTCACTTTTTCCAGCTGATCAGCTGAGCAGTGGGGCTGCTGGTGCTGAAGGGCTCCTGTGCCTTACCAAGGTGGGGGCTGCACGTCTGGGGAATGAACTGTTTTGGGATCTTTTGGGATGAAGAAGTGCTATACGCATGTAAGGAATTATAACTTCTTTACTAGCGTCATCATAATTTTTTCAGGACCAGGTAGCCGCAGACAAGATATTCAAGGATGGTAAAACTGGCCCAGATGTTGCGAGTCACTGGCTGCGACTGGGGTTGCACAGCTGGCAGAGATCTGGGATTAGTCTGTCGGCCTCCCCTGGCTCCCTGGCAAAAACCTCACTGCGGGTGCTTTCTGGGCCACGACAGGCTCAAGAGGCGCAGCGCTTGTCAATGGGCGTGTCGCCCTGATCGCTGTTAGAGTTGGAGGAGCGGGTCGATCCTGTGTGGTCACCAGTGAGATGAGCCCCGATGAAGTAGCTGATGATCCCAAATTGGGTGGGTGTAAAATGAAAAATGCAAAAAAGAAGTTCAAAAAGTGAGTCAAAAGGGGAAAATGGTTGAGTTTTTGTTTGTGTGGTTCAGTTCTCTCCTCCTTCTTATTCTGTTACCCATGGGTCAGTCCTAGCTTCTTTCCAAAAAATAGAGGAGCTCTGTACTTTATGAGCCTTGTCTTGGACTCAATTTATCTGCACTAATCCAGTTCCTGGGTGTTTGAGCTTGTTCTTCTCAAACTTGTACCGGCGGAGTAAGAAGACTTAGAATGTGCTCACAGATTTTGCATACAGATCTGCTGGGTCCTTGCAGGCCCGTACCGCAAATATGAAAACTCACTTTCACGTGTGGGAAAAATCGCTGGGTTGCGGAGACGTTGAGAGACTCGTTTTCAATCCAAGCTTAGTAGGGCAAAGGTTATTGGTTGATCGTTAGGCTACCTAATGTGTCTGGAGTTGTGCACTGAGTGGCTGTAGTCAAAATATAACAGCACTTCTGGTCCTCCTTGTAAGCTTTCATTAGGTTCTGTAGATATTTTTTAAGGTTACCTGACTGAAATGGGCTTCAGGCATTTACTGTAGGTTGTTTTTGTTTTTTTTAACCTGAGCAATGCAGGTGCTTTCTTAGAGTTCTCTGCACATGAACAAAGGTTGTAGGGACTTGCTGCGAGAGGATATTGCGTGCAGAGAGGGGCGCGAGGGGGGCTTAGTGTGATGAAAGCTGAGGTTCGGCGAAGGCTTGAACCTTCTCTGTGCCTGTTTTCAGTTCGCCTGCCTGTGCCATCCAGGGTTACTGGGCTGGTCATGGATTTTGCTTGTTTGCTCCCGAACACCATTTGAATAGCCTGATGGCTCTGGATTCCACTCGGGACAGGGTGAGAGCGCTCTGGCTCTTTAGCCGCTGTAGAAGCGTGCGTGGAAGAGCGTTTTAGTCACGGCTGGAGAAAAGCTGGACTTGCCTCCGTACCTCGTGCAGAAGATGCGCTTCAGCCCCGTTTCTTCCCCGCCCACAGCTGCCCTTACCTGCACCGCACTACGGGCGACACGGAGCGGAAGTACCACCTGCGCTACTACAAGACGGGCACGTGCATCCACGAGACGGACGCCCGGGGACACTGCGCGAAGAACGGCCTCCACTGCGCCTTCGCCCACGGCCCCCACGACCTGCGGCCGCCGGTGTACGACATCAGGTACGTCCCCGAGGGCCCTGGGCTCAAACCCGTCCGCCAGGGTCCGTTTAGATATATTTAGATGGAATATATCCTTCAGATGAGACGTAAAACCGAGATCCTGACTCTCTGTGGTCATTAAAAATCCCAGGGTGTTTCTCGAAAAGAGTAGGGGTGTAACCCCGGCGTCCTGGCCAAATTTCCCATTGGCCCTTACCAATCATGGCCTCCTAATAATTCCCATCTATGAATTGGCTTCATCACTCTGCTTTCCTCCCCACTGGTAGCTGGTGTGTGGGGAGTGTACTGGTGCACTATGGCTGCCGTCGCATCATCCAGGTGGGGCTGCACACTGGTGGTGGTGGAGGGGGGTCCCCATTACCTGTAAGAGCTTTGAGTGGAGTGTCCAGAAAAGTGCTATATAAGTGTAAGCAATAATTATGATTATTTCTCTCAATCTTAAATGAAGCACTCATTTAATTTTTTATCGATCTTTGTTTAGACGGCGAAAAACATACATGAAGTGTTATAATGTTGCGCCACTGTTTTATCGCACCCCTGTCCCTCCTCGATCGCATGCGTCCTGTGAGCGGGATCATTAGCGCCATAAAAATAATTGAGTTGCAAATCGCTTATATGGTTTCGATTTGCATGAATGTATGTGCAGGCACATAGCCATTGGAGGAAAAGGTCTGTTAATCTGTCCCGGTTGCTCAATTAAGATATGCAGCAGTTATTCCTTCGCTACCTCCCAGAGGAAATCGGAGGCGACTGCATGCCCTGTGGCTTGTTTCCATTGTGAACTTTTATCACCAGGGTATTTTGCATGACGAATTCAAAATTAAAAAAACATATCTGTTTTCCATGTAGACACGCGTGTTAAGGGCTCATTGCTTAGCCTGCAGACCCTGCCGTGCCTGCTGAGTAATGAGGGTGGGAATGGATGGGCCTTGATGAGATGGCATTCCCCACAGGGGGACGGTTTCTTGTAAATTATTTCACTCCCAGGAGCAGGTTTGTTCTGAATGCGCACAGATTTATGAGATATCACCAAATAGATATCTCAGATGAGTAATTGTTTGAAAAAATTCCCTCTGCCAATCAAAGTTTTGTTAACCTCGTAGTCCCGTGATTGACCTGGTTTCACATAGTGATCGTAATGGAATGTAAAGAGGAGGATTTAGCTGTCTGCCTGTTGCAGGAGAGCTGTCACCTCTTCAAAGAAGAGTTTCCTTGAGTTGTGTTTTCTCACGCAAATCCAAATTGTAAGACAGTGCTTATATAATAGCCCCTCCTTATGTAGCTACTACTCTTTACTGATTTTTGCTGCCTTTAGCCAAAGCAATTTTCGTTTGCACCCGTTTTTACAGCTAGGTATTAACTGGAGCAATTCGGGCAATGCACCTGGCTCACCTGAGGGTCAAACTTGCAACCACTATTGCAGTCTATGGTAAAGAGCTATTTGAAGGAGATGGAAGTGGTCTCAAGGTGGGATGATTTGGCCCTTGCATCACCCTTCTTCTGCCTATGTGCTGAAGCAGCATCATTGTGCTTTGTTAAACTCAGACTTCAGCATTTCATTCGGGCTTTCTGCTCCCCTACAGCAGACCACACTCACCCGGTGCTTCCTGTTAGGAACCAGGAGCCCAGGGGCGCAGTGCAGGTTAATCCCACAGTCTGCAGGGTTTGCAGTGGGCCTTTGCCATTTGTTTTTGTTCATCTACAGTTTGCGTTCCGAACCAAAAAGACGAGAATTACATCTGCACGTGTCTCCTGCTTTTAAGTCTTTTGAAGCTAAACAGGTTGGGCATTCTATTCAGGTCTAGTGAGTTCTGTGTCTTTGAAAACTGAACAAGCCTTAGCAGTTTTATTTAGTATCTGTATCCAAGCGTAAGCGTGATGAAAATGCAGCCTGCCTCAGAGATCGAGTTGTCAAGTGAACGCTGCTCTGATTTCAAGACCATCGTTCTTGGAAATCGTAAGGTCTTTATTAGTCCCGGACAGACTTGAACTTCAGCAGCTCCTGCCCGATCAGTTTCTGGGTAGTGACAGCTGGAGTAGAAAGAGGAAATGACCTCATGGACTAGCGAGTTTCTCTGAACGGTGTCCATTCCTGTTGGTTTAGCAGCAGGGGAATTCCACGGCTCTTGTTCCGAGTGCAGCTTCTCTGAGCGTAAGGGCAAATGAGGTCATCGGTTTCCTCTGTGCTCAGCATCAGTGGACCTATTTAAGAACCGACTCTTTGGAATATTGTTGAAGTTATTAAAAATGCAATATTGCACTTTGATATTTACACAAATATTTGTCTCCAATCAAAAACTTGCGCAGTATAGATTTGTGTATGCTTTCTGAATAGCACTATAATATTCCAATTTGATTAAAATCAGGAAATGAGTTAAAATAATTCTGTGGATGAGAAGGAATCTCTTCTTAATACACTTTAATGTCGATTGACAACAGAAGTGTTGTTACAAAAAACAGGTTTCTCGTTCTCTGTTAGAACGGAAGATAAACATACTTCTGGGAGTTTCGATCTTTTTATTTTAGCTGACAACGCGAGCTGCCTGCCTCTCTGTCAGGTCCGACCAGTTTGTGCCCCTGTGCTCCGTGAACAAAGGTTGGCCATTTTATCTCTGACCTCGATCTGCCAGGACTGCTGCCAGTACCCACACGGGCATACAGGAGAGGGGGGGAAAGGCATTGTCTTCAAATGGCCACTGCTGCCTCCGACACGAGAGCTGTCCGACACAAGCACCAAGAAATGAACAGGACGAAAGGGGGTCCTGTCCTGCTGTCTTGCAGGATGTGGAGGCTCTCAGAGCCTGATTTAAGAAAAGCTCTCCCTGAAAATTGTTCTTATCGTGACCTTACACGGCGTATTCCAGGATCATTTTCATGATGGTAAAGAGATGGGAAACAACAGGAGCGGAGCCCTGTTTAAACCATGCACATTTAAACCATTCTTCCTGGAAGATCAACAGCTGCATTACAGCAAAGGCTTCAGTGCGGCTCTCATTCTTAGGATGTTTGTCGTTCTTCTGAAAGCCCACACGCTGTCCTTCTGTTTGCATTTGATACACAGCTCTTCCCCGCTGGGGAAAAACAAACAAACATGGGTTGAACTTCTTAGAAGTCTGAGAGTTGAAAGTCCTGTTATGTGGCTACTATTTGCCCAGTGGTCCTAGTCAAGATTTCATTCATGGATTATGCTCTCTTTTCTGAGATTTATTTTGCTTTAGATACCATATTTCTAATTTGTTTTTTTTTTAAAGCACCCAATCTGTCTAGTATCTTGTCACAATAAATCTTAAAGGGAAATTTCGGTAAAAAAAACAGGAGATTTATTTATGGAAATTCATGCTTCACCGCAGGTCATGGTATGGGACTGTCTGCTATGTAATATTTCCATAAATCCAGCAGTGCGCTAGGTGAGAGCAGGCCCTATTTACACTGTGTCATGTTCTCTTGATCAACTAACTTGTTGAGTCCACCATCATGGGCTCCGGACAGTTGGCCCCAGGCCTCTGTGAGTGAGTGGGTCTTGACTCGGATGTGAGAAGTCCTGTCCAGTCCTGCACCCTGCTCTCAGCAGGGCCGCACCCAGCCGAGGCTGCTGTGACGGCGGTCGTGTTTGTGTGGGACCCAGCAGCAGGTTCAGAGACACCAGAGGTCCGGGGAGCCTCACCCTGCACTCCATATCTCTGTGAATGGGCTCATACTGTTGGGCCTGTTTTTACTTCTAATGGACATCGCTGCGAAGGAACACTGATTCAGTTGTATAGCCAGTGACTTCCAGGCACATTCGTGAAATGTTTTTTTTTTTTTGGTGTCAAAGCACCGAGCTTCACTTTGCTGTATTAAGAAGAGTCTCAGAAAGCAAATAAGCTCTACTATGGTTGCGAAACGAAACATGGCATTCTTTTCACTGTAGTTTTTCATAGGGTGACCTAGACCTAGACAAATGATATAAACTTGCATTTTGTGACAGTTGCAAATGAAACCAAAAGAAAAGAGAGCATGGCATTCCATAGTAGTAAAGATGTCGTTCAAGAAACACAGTGGAACAGCAGAACAGCAAGCCTGTTCCCACCTCTACAGTGAAGGAAAGTGACTGAGGGATAGGCTGCTGTTGCTTAGCAACAAAAGGACTACGGTGTATGAATGCTTACCGTGTGTGCTTGAGACGTTGTACTTTCATTGAGAAATCACAGTCGTTATTAATGGAGCGGTCTCGGATCCTCTTCCAGAGAAATCCAGGCACAGGAGGCGCTTCAGAATGGGCAGCTGGGGGCGGGGGAGGGCATCCCTGATCTCCAGCCTGGAGTCCTGGCGAGCCAGGCCATGATCGAAAAGACGCTCACCGAGGACCCCAGGTGGCAGGGTAAGAGACTGCAGCCTCACTGCCAATCGGTTTGTTGACAAGATCAGTCAACTGCTAGCACGGTGTTTTTTATTGACCAGTTTTCTTATATACATTTTATTTTTACTTTCCAGACTGGAATTTTAAGTCTGCTTTGTGTTTTATTGTAGTTTGACTTTGTCTTTTAATGTCTGCACCTTCGTGGTTTTTCTTCAGTTGGCCGAATGGCAGCAGGTTCACAGTCATGGTATCTATTGTAAGCTTTTAGCATTTTATCCAGTTTTTGGATCTCCTGCGATCAGAATTCCATGAGAACATGCTGAGGACACACAAGCAACACAAGCAGACTCCCAGTGCAGCAGATAATTGTGAAATTAAACTCCCTTGCCAGAAATATATTCCCTTCTCTGTGTCGTATGTTCCAAACACACAAGAGGCATCTAAGCAAATAGGAATACAATGGTTATTTTACACCAATTCTTCCTGCCTGTGACAGCAACAAAGGAAAATTTCAGTACTTCATTATCCAACAGCATTACATTCATCAGGTGTGAATTTAGTTGTGCAGTTTCTTTTGCTTTTCATGTCATGGAGACACTGCCATCTAGTGGACACACTAAATATATTAGAGCCCTTTTCAGGCAGTGTACAAATAGTTTAAGGTTTCTGTCCTGGACTTTATATCAAGCTGATTGTCAGCACTACAGTGTACATTTTTACATCGGTCTGGTTAGTCATGCAAAGAAAAGGGCAGCTGGATGTTGGAAAACCATGATTTTAGGTTCCTGACATATCTTTCCTTTTATTTTTTTGGGAGTATGTAAAACCCAAAGATGGGTTGTCACTCCACTATGTGCTGAAAGCTGCTCTTGACTGGGCAAGGTGTTTATTTTCCACAGATACCAACTTTGTTCTTGCTAACTACAAGACAGACCAGTGCACCAAGCCCCCCCGTCTCTGCAGACAAGGGTACGCCTGTCCACATTACCACAACAGCCGGGACCGCCGACGAAATCCGAGGAAATTCAAGTACAGGTCGGAAACGTGGAGCCAGCTTGCTTTTTTACAGCGTTATCGCGATGTTTACTTTTGACGTACAGCCATGCTGGTTTAATCTGGTTGGCCAACCATGCGGGTGGTGTTCACACCTTCAGAATCAGAGTTATTTTTTAACAATGCTGATTAAAGAGAATAATAAGATTAGAGAGCTTTTGTGTGGGACTGTTTTGTCTAATGTGCTTTTTTATAAACTAAACTGCTTGTTTAAAAAAAAAGTAATTATTTATTTGGGCAATACCTTTGCCCAAAGTGACTTACATTTGCACCCATTTATACAGCTGGGAAGTTTACTGGGGCAGTTCATATATAATGGTACTTGCTCAAGGGTTACAGCAGCAGTGACTTCTCTGGGAATCAAACCCACAGTTACGAGTCCAGAACTATGAGCCCTGCTCCACACTTACTGCTTAAGATCTGTCTGCTGCAGCCGTCAAGCTGTGGTAAGGATCTGAAAGTAACCAGCTGTGTTTTTCTCTCATAGTTTCTCAGAACATTTTCTAAAAAATACGATACAATGGCTCTGTGGTCTACTATTTTGTTACTGTGGCTACATTGCTTGTGCATTCTTGACTTCATCCTAGCATGCCTTGGTTTCAGAGTGATCGGATTAGGCTAGACGTGTAAAATGTCAGTATTGTCAGTATAGAGCTCACACAGGGGGTCGACAAGGCCTCCTGCATGGTGATTGACAGTGGGTGTTGTGTATTTATGAGGCATCAGAACTCATTTCTGGGGACTTGATTGCAGGTCCACTCCCTGTCCCAACGTGAAGCATGGAGACGAGTGGGGTGAACCTTCGAAGTGCGACAGTGGCGACAGCTGTCAGTATTGCCATTCACGCACAGAGCAGCAGTTCCACCCAGAGGTAAGCTGCTTAAAGCCTCCACCCGTACACGAATAGGAGCGAGCAGGCTCACAACTGGCCACCCACTGAAGCTCAGCAAGGTCAGCCTGGCCAGTACCTGGATAGGAGACCTCCTGGGAAAGCTAAGATTGCTGCAGGGAGAGGTGTTAGACCACAGGGTGAGTGCCCCCTACTGGCCCACTATGTGTGGGTCCTAATGCCCCAGTATAGTGACAGGTACAGTATACTGTAAAAAAGGAGCTGTCTTTAGGATGAAGCATAAAACTGAAAAACTCTCTATGGTCGTTAAAAATCCCAGGGTTCTTCTTGAAAAGAGTAGGGGTGTTACCTTGGCATCTTGGCCAAATTTCCCCCTGGCCTTTACCAATCATAGCCTCCTAATAATACCCATCTCTGAACTGGCTTCATCACTCTGTTCTCCTCCCCACTGAGAGCTGGTGTGTGGGGAGTGTACTGGTGCACTATGGCTGCCGTCGCATCATCCAGGTGGGGCTGCACACTGGTGGTGGTGGAGGGGAGTCCCCATTACCTGTAAAGCACTTTGAGTGGAGTGTCCAGAAAGTTGTTATTATTATTATTATTATTATTATTATTATTATTATTATTATTAAGCTTGGTGTAATAGGAGATATTCACTTATGTCATGAAAACCTGGTGTGCACTGACTTGGGAGCTGCCAGTTAACGTTCATTGTGCAGGTTGAGCCCTGTGGTCCAGATATTGCTGCTCCAGTCCTGGGCTGGAATATGAGCAGGCTGGGAGCAGGATTCCCCTCTGATTAACTCCTGTATTCATGTCTTTATATGCAAGAGTGCCCCCCTACGATATTGCAAGTCTCCTGCAGGCACTGCAGCACAATCTGTCCGAGATGCTCATTCTAACATGCAATTTTCATAGAGCAGTGGTTTATGTTAAGACTGTATTGAAACCTTAACATGTCATATCTTGTTTCTTTTTTTTTTAGATTTACAAATCCACAAAATGCAATGATATGCGCCAGACAGGATATTGCCCTCGAGGACCGTTCTGTGCATTTGCCCATGTGGAAAGTAAGGCATTTAACCATCTGCTGGGGTTACAGGGCCTGCATGCAAGTAGGAGTAGGTTTGATCTTGCACTACCATTTGACCTGTTTTACACTTTACGAGCTATACGTTTGTACATAGAAACCAAATGCTCAGTTACTGTTTTAGGCAGGTTTGTAGCTAAAATGTTTCATCATTCACTTAATCAGTAAAGTTAGTGTAGAAACCTGAAATGGCCCAGTTGCCCAGAAGGGAAATCTTTACAGATATTATCAATCCCTGGTTTTTGTGATTTCTTGCTTGTCCTACCTGGTTGCTTATTTGGATTTTAGTTATCACCCTGACATAGCAGTAAAATATAGTTTAATACTTAGTGAGGCACAGAAGGATTTATATCAGTTACACTTGATAATAATACATATGTGGTAAATGACAAACCTTGTCAGGCAGTCCTTGTTTCACTGGAGATTCATAGCTGACTTGCAGTCACATTGCTGTGAATCACTAAGTGAATCCAAGAGTTTGGACTTTTTATCTGCTGTAGGGATTGTTTGCAAGCAGTTGCGATGGTAGTGTGCACAGGCATTGCAGTTGTTAAATTGCACTTCTGGGTTGGTGTTCATTCACACAGTTCTGTTAAAAAGCTCTTCTGAATTTACTGGCCACATTGTAAGATCTAATTTGACATAAAATCACCAGGCTAGAGATAACAATTATAGAGGTGAATAATCACAAGTATGGGAAAATGGGAATATGATCCACATTGCCCATTTTACCCTGGGATCCAATTGGGAGCCTTGGAATTGGATCCCTTTCTTGTGCCGCCTGGACCACCTGCTCCTAATGGTCACCATCTCTAGGCTTTTGGTCAGTGCTTTCCCAGCTGTGATTTACTGTTCTGAAGGTGGCTTCTCCGGGAACAATCCTAATGACGCAGAGGGCGCTCCTCAGGTAGAGTAAGTTTCTGACCTACAGTAGAAGAGGGAGTATACACAGGCTGGTGCCCAGCCTCGATGTTGAAGTGTTTCCATTAGATACGAAACTCCTGATTGAGATCCCCAGACCGGTTAGCTAGCCAAGCCCACAAGAACGGGCCGGATGTTTGTCACCTTCATGCACTTCCTTCCATAAGGATTGTCTGCCGCCGAGATTATCTCGCTTTCGATAGCGGCTCCCGTTCCGCTCTGTTCTCCTCCTGGCGGCGCAGGCTCGAGAGAGAGCTCTGACCGCCTCCCCGTGCTGCGCTGTGTTGCAGGAATCCCTTCCGCCGAGGAGGCGATGAACACGCTGCTCACTGTGATGCACCCGGGGTCCCAGGCGAAAGCGGGGTCCCAGCCGTTCTCCGAGTGTCCGGGCCCCGACTGGGGGAGCGGCGCCAACTCCGCCGGCAGCGCGGCCAACAGCAGTGGTCAAACAGGGAATGTATGTGGTTTCGCCAACAGCTGTGCTCCGTTTTCATAACGTTGTTTGTGGGGGGAAAAAAAGGCCAGTGAATACAGCATGAGCTCCCAGATTCTTGTAACGTCCAAGTTCAAAGAAACATTTCCTGTGTATGTTAGTATGATTACCGGCACTTTAACTTTATAAAGCCAGATATTACAGTCTCTCCATGAGGTTTAAGGGCTTTTGTACTGTTCACACCTCTGCTTTTCCGGCATAGCAGAGAATAATTTATCTAATTCATTATGGATTTTAAAATGGCCGAGATAAAGCGTTTTCCAAGTCTGAATTTTCCCTTTCATCCAATACACCTGTGAAATTTCTTTTGTAAGAAAGGATAATTTTGCTGGTAGTAATGACACAGATTTGTAATGAATCATTCTTATCCCTTTTTTTTAAGTCTGGTTGCAGTTTCTGTAATTTGTATATTTTTGTGTTATTACCTGTTCTGTATTATTCATTTCATCGCAAGATGGTCCCGTGTGAACCTCCTCTGAGAAGGTTTGTTTTTCCCTATAGTGGCTTGTAGACTCGTGCAGTCAAGACGTAGAGGCTGAGGTTGAAAATATGTTCTGATTTCTGTACATTTGCCAGTCCACGTATTCTAAATATGTAATTCACTTCACTCCAGGTCGCATGAGCTGCTGTCCATTTTACAGTTTTCGAATGCCTAAAAGCGCAGAGTAGCAAGCATGTTTTGCTGGCTCTGAAGCCTGTTTAAGTTCCCTCTGTCATTTTCTCCCTCAGGTTTCATGCTCTAGTAGTCCAACAGTAACCTCAAGCTCAGGAAGCAACAGTTCATTGTCCCCAATCGGACCCATCAGCAGGCCTAAAAGCTTTACTAACGGTAGCTTATGTTCAGAATCCACCACGTCCAATGTTTCGTCTCCAACGTCTAACTATCCCAAAGCTCCGGGGTTTGAACGTGAGGATCAGGTATATAAAGATTCATTTTTCTTTTCCCTCTCCTGACTGGAAGACCCAGTGCCCAGTGCTGTCAGTTTAAATTAGGGTTTTTTTTCCCACGAGCAGCTCTTTTCTGGTTTTCCCTCTCCTAGGCTGTTGCCTCCTCAAGTGAAGGGCGGAAATAGGCTCCTTACTCCCTAGTCTCTGTAGTAAGAACTTCGAAAGGGTTCTGGGTAACAGCGTCAGCTCTGAGGCAGAGTACAGCTGAAATGTTATTTTATGTTCAGGACAGTTGGGTAGAGCTGTATGAAACGATTATTCAGGTGGTTTTTCTTTTTCAGAGCAGGTTGGAACAATCCCATTAGAGACGATTATTAGTGTTTCATTTTCTTTTTTAGACCAAAAAGAAGGTGTTCCTTCACAATTCATTTTTTTTGTTATAATTGCCCAAAGAACAGTTTTCGATTTAAATATTCCTTCGCACTTGATGGAGGTACAAACTTTCCCCTAACTCTCATTAACAAACACATTTGGTGCAGACAGTTGTTGCTCAGCCGAAAACACTTCTGTAGCCTGTCGCAGCACGACGGCTTCAGTCCAGACGCCAATAAGCTCATGGACCCAGAAGGCTGACTTGGCCGGCTCTCCTGGGACATGCCACAGCTGCACAGGGCCTTACAGGAGAGTCAGTCTGGCACAGGGGGAGTGATGCATCCATCACTGATGGCGCTGTCACCCGCCAGGCGATACAAGCTCACTCTTGAAGACTGGAGCTTGCCCCCGGCACTCTGCCTTTTGCCACACCTCTTAGTCACACTGGACTGATGGTGTAATGTTCCACCCAGCTGGTGATGTCCAGATTGTCGGGCTCTGCCCCTCACTTTTATTGGGAGAGGCACTCCGGATCCCCAGACCTGCCTTTCTGTCTCTACCACACCTGGCCTGCATTATCAGATCATTTCATCCAGCTCTACTGAAAGGGAGCCCACTGGCTTTTACTAGAGAGGTGGCTTTGCTCTCATATGTTTTAGGAGGTGTTCCGGTGAATCTAATGCACAGGATTCTGAATGCGTGTGTATCCTTCTTCGGCTAGTTTTTCAATTTTAACCTCTGCAAGTCGCTGTGACGTTTGTGATTGGATTTATGCGAAATGAAACCGATGAACCGAGTGTACATCTCAAAGCACATGGCAGTGTTGATTTGTCTGTCTTTTTTAAGTTGTTTGGTTCTCGTTTGTCAGTTTTGGTTATAAATATATTTTCTGTCTCTCTGATGGGATGCTAGAAATCACATATTTGACCTGCCCTCCCAAAGCCCAGCTCTTTAAGCTTCACTGTTCTTTTTCACTCTTTAATGGGAATTTTCTATTTTCCGCCTAACCGTTTTAGAATCGCCACTCGTTAACCGGCACAGCTCGCCTGCACACCCCCGACACTGTGTGCACGCACGCTCGTCTGACACGCCCCCCCCGGACTCGCAGCAGGGAGAGCAGCACCTGGAGGAGTGGTGCATCTCTCGCTGAAATGTCTTCAAACTAAAAAAGTTATTGGCTGTTCCCTACCAAGAGGTGCCCCAGCCACCTTCAGTCCACCCAGCTGGAGCATCACTCAGCCACCTGGGTGCCTTTGAGTTGGACTGGGCTGCAGTACTCCTTATTGTTTTTCTCCATCACTGAGAAGCGCCGGTACAGTGATATCTAGGAGACCAATCTACTGTCTGTCCAAACGTTTTCAGCTGCAACTTACTCCACTAGAGTGTGTCTAGTGTTTAGCTCAGAGACATTGCACAAGTAAAAAAACAAAACTTGTTTAAAAGATGTTGAAACGTTGCCCATCTTTGCAGATCCCCTGTTTGCTATTAAGAGTCATCGCTAACCTTTTCAACCTGAATCCACAGCGTTAGTTTGCCTATTAACCTTAAAAAGGCTGGGATTGGAAGAGTAGGTCACCTATTAAAAAGATGCAGTTATTGCCTCAACGGTGCAGGTCGTTATCGTTCCTTTGTTTGCTGGCTAATTGCAGGCCTGAGTCGTTCATGTCTGTTGTGCTGTTTTGGTTTGTTGGCATGTGTCTCATGAAATCACGTCGTCTTCCTCATCCTCCAAAGTCTCATCTGGCACACAGGGGAATGAGGAATGCAGAATACTTCTTCAGGTGTAACTTTGATCATGCCAAATGGCACTTTAGAGCTGAATACATTTAATTTCAGTTTGGGTTGATGATTGCTGTGTGAGTTGTGTCATGACTTGGAAAGGTCATCTCAGGTTGCCCTTTTTCAGTATTCTGAATGCAGGTGTGGGGTTCAGATTCATATTTATTGTAGCTTATGAATCACTCAGGATATAATTTCCTAACATTCACTGCACAGTTTGCCTTCACAACTTTGGTTACTGTTTTCTAGGCGAAAAATCTGAAGAGCCACCCAGTGGATGGTATTCAAAAACCAGTGGACCAAGAGAAGCAGGTGCACTTCATTTTGTTAATGGCGCAATTTTGTATTTGGATCTGGCAGTGGATTAAATGAGCAGCTTCAGAAAATGTATGAGGGTGGGGAAGAAAAGCTCAAAGGAATTCAATGGAGATGTATAGGAAAATCGTGATAGTCTTCAGTTCAAACTGGGAAATGTAATTCTAGTTACTGGATGGCTATGCTTAGCCTGGTGTTGAAGCTGTGTAGTTCTCATTAGGCCACACTAGAGGGCTGCATATGAACACAACCAATTCAGTTCTTTTCAAATGCAGATGTGAAGCAAATACTGCTAGACCTCCTTAGTTTTAGAGCTTTTAAAAGAGGATGTCTTCAGTATGGCCTCAGTTGTATCACCAGTTATATCTTTAATATCATCAAATATCAGTTATCATATTTATAATTAGTTAGATATTAAAAGCAGCAGAGTTTGCACAGCTTGTGAGAGAGGCAGCAGTAGTTCAAATCCCAAGAAGGGCGCCGCTGTGAAAGCAGGAAAATAAAATTTGGAGGCTTTTATGTCCTGATCACCAGGTGAGACTAACCGTTGCCCTTTTCCTGTTCGCAGAACCTCATTAGTGTTTTTTCAGCGGTCAACCCGCTGGCGTCCAGTATAACATCCAGTATAACGTCAAGCCTGGCCTCCAGCATCGGCTCCGACAGCTCGTCCCCAACCACTCTGTCCACAATGAACGCGAAAGCAACCCCCTTCTACCCTGGCAGCAACACAGTGGAATCGGTGATCGGTATGGGCAATAGTTGCTCTTTTAATAACAGTAACCTGAATTCACACGCTTCTGCTGCAGGCCAGTGTGAGGATGGGTTGAAAAGTACCTCTCTTTTATGACCAGCAGATCATTGGTTTATCTTGCTGTAAGTGATACTCTGAGTTGTCTGTCTATACTGTCTGTCTGTCCCTCTCTTACCGTCTGTCCCTCTGTCCATCTGTCCAGCTGCTTAACCACGTGTGAGCTGCTCAGATGCTGTATCCTGTGCTGAATCATGCACATAAGATGAGAAAATTATCCATGGCCTGCATTCCCTCTTAGCTGTAGTCAAGCACGTGTGGAGTTTTGGATCTTTGAAAGGCGCCATCTCTAGTTTCTCTAGGCAGGTTGGTGGATGGAGGGTCTTCTCGAACATTGAGGGAATTGTTAGGATATAATCTAATGGGGTTTTTAAAAACAGAAGGGCTGAACGCCAAAAGAGAGACCAGTTTCAAGTCCTGCAATGTTTTGATTGCTTACCCACACTGTTGTAATGGGGACAAAAATCTACACAAACAACCAGATACCATCCACATGTAGGTTCTTGTAATTCAGAATCACCCATGTTAACCAACATTTAATTTAGCAATTTTTCCTAATCGGTGGTCTTGTCTTTGTTTGGCTTATGATTTTTTTTATTCTTTCGAGAGGTGCAGAATTCAGTTGTTTCTGTCAAGCTGGGGGAGATTCCTACATGTCTGGAAATTTGCGGCAGCTAGAGAGGAACTTGAAAATCGGGAGGGAGTTTTCATTGCAATAACAATGGACGGGGTGTGTGTGTGGGGGGGATGCAATTCTTAAAATAGCAACAGTGCATTAGGGCAGGGAGCGTGTCTGAGTGCATACCTGACTCTTTGGTGCTGCTAGGCAGCTGTGGTCACATGACTGGGGCTTGTGATTAGCCGGTGCATGTGCAAGGGGTCTGTGTCTGGAGGGGTGTTTGGAGAGAGAGGGGGAGGGAGGGAGGGAGAGAGAGAGACAGAGCTCACTGCTGCAGACAGTGAGTCAGCACTTAGATGGGCGGATACTTTCTCCCTTTTACAACTCCATAGCTTTCTGGCAGTGAGGTAGGGTGATTTTACTGGGGATTCACAAATAGAGTAAAAAAAGGTTGCGGTACAGAAGTGCTTAGTCAACAGACACATTGAGTGTTTACAGAATAGAGATTGTTTTAAAATGTGCAATTTCTAAGATGTGTACGCGAGTATGTTCAGAATTTATGCTGGGATACCTGAGAGTTTTGTGCTTTGCTGCTGCATTTGTATGTTTTCTTGAAAATCTAGCTGTTGTCAGCCTTGTTAAAATGCAGTATTCCATAAGTACTGCGATTGGAAATGATTCTGTACAGTGATGCTGTGTGCATGTGCTCGATGCACAGTCCTGCACTCACTTCTAACGCCGAATGTCATGAATTAACAAGAAGTGCTCTCTGTCTGTGCCGGAGCCAGTGGATCAGTGACACTGCAGGGTAGCCCTTAGGAATGGGTTGGGAGAAGTGAAGTACTGGATCTCTAATTTCGGAGAACAGGAGGCAGCGGAGAACAAAGTACAGGGTCATGTTGCAGATGCTGAGTCACCAGTGTTACTACTCTGTTAGTTGCGTTGGTGACATCTGGATCAGCAACATGGGGCGAAGGACCTCATAATGGGATCTGAGGGTGTTTTTCTGTTTTAACTGTGATCATTTAACCCATGCAAGGTCTTGGCATTCCAAGTTCAGTTTTTATTAAGTGTTCAGTACAAGAGGGCTGTTGTGCAAAGTGTGACCTTTGAAAAGAAGCACACATCTGGGCAAAGAGATCCGTAGCTCTGTGTGCTCCCAAGCCTGGGCAGTTTCAGTATTTCCTCTTTGCACATAGCCAGGCACCCGACTACTCACACAGCTCTAGTTGCTATAGCGATGCCCTCTGCTCTGCGTCATTCTTTTGGAATTAATAAGCTCTGCTCTGCGTTGATTTCTTTGGGGAGATCTGTCCAGTGTGAATTGGAATTCTGCCGTTTTAACGGAACATATGGAACTGCGCTTGCTACTGTTTGCAAGTTAAAAATCACAGTGAAATACACGTTTAGTTGTTGTGTAGGTCCTGAGACAGTGTCTTTTTCCTCTGGTTTTAGGCCTGGTTTGAGGCCTTTTATAAGCAACTTAATGAATTTAACTTGTGCTTTTAAAGTCTATTTTTGTGTTTGTTTTTTAAAAAGCTTTCTGTAATTTGTAATGATTTGAGAGCACAGTAACAGGTAATTTTTCTCAATTCTTTGCTTATTTTGCAAACTGTGAAAAGTGGAAAGAAAATTTGAGTTTTGCTAAAGTTGTTTAAATCTTAAAAAGTTTTCATCTAACTTTTCCTTCATCAGAGACTCCGAATCCTGGCTGTACGAGTATTTTTCATAGTAAGAGTGAGCCTCAATTTAATAAGTGTATACATACACAGACTTTAAAGAATATTGCTCCTTCTCACCAAGTTTCTCTGTAGTATAACATATTTATATTTTTAAATAAAATCTTATTTGTAAAAACTGTACTTTTGACTACAGTAAACCTTTGCTGATACTTGATGGTTTTACTTTGCAGGTTCTGCACTTGACCTGAACTTTGGCGACATTAACGTCACTCTTGATAAGGAACTGGAAGAAGAAGAGAATAGTGATCTTGGCTTAACAAGTAAGCAGACTGGTGTGAGTGAGCTGAAAAAGATTGGTGGGGTCTTTCAATTTAGGCCCCGGGCTGTAGAGTCTAGGGGTGGTCTAGGGTGCTGGTTTGAGTTTACCGGGTTACCCTAATCATTCTGGCACAGCTGCTTGATTTGTCACTCGATGCTGACCCCTGTGGGTTTCCGGTCGCCTGTGACGCAGCGGTGGTGAACGAGAGTCGTCCAGTGCCCTAGCCCAGCTGTTGTTGCAATGGGAGTACGTGCTTGGTCAGACCTGTGCGCGATCTTGAAGTCTGCGTTGCTCCAGTAGTGGTTCGGGCCTGGCTGGTAAAGAGTTTTTCCAAAAATATTGCCAGTTCTTAAATAAGAAACATGGTAACTCTTACGTTGTGTAAACCCTAGCATCTGACAATTGCTCAATAAACAAATATCTATAAGATGGCATTTAGCATAGCATTTAACTTTGTATAAATGTTTTTTATATGACTGTCCCCATGGAAGGAGAGCTGTGATGCTGATAAAGAGAACCCCACACTATATAAATCAGTAAATAATAATTTGTAAGGATGTGTAAAGTGGCTGGTAGAACACTTTAAACATTAAGATTTTAAACTTTTTCATGGGGTGACAAAAATTCAGACTTTGTAATTGTTAGATTTGATCAGTATCATTAGCCGGAGTCTACAAAACTACCTTTCGTGCGTTTCCCTTGCTTTGATGTTCAGCTTTCCAATAGGAACATTACAAATGACCAAAAAAGGGTTTGAGTTGGTGTATTTTTCTTTCGTTAATTTTCACCCATACAGGTCAGAGGTTGTTAGGAGGCTCAGCCCCTGTCAATATTCCTGGCTCCCTTGCTCGCTCTTCCTCGCTGCATTCTTCCTCCTCGCTCTCTGCCTCTCCGCTGAGCTCGTTGTCTCAGTCCCTCTCTCAGTCCGTCCTGTCCTCGGCAATGGCACCCCAGCAGAGTCAGCCCCAGGCCCAGCCAGCCAAGGCAGAGCACAGCCTTCTGGGAACTTCGGCCTCCTCCCAGAATTCCCTGGGTAAGAAAAGACTAAACAAGAAAATAGCTGTAAATAGGCTTGGTACTTTAACACCTGCTTGCTTTCTTTGTCTGACTACAGATAGTAAGTTTCTACATTTAGAGTAATAACTTGATTAGTAATCAGTTAATTGCATGGTTTCACAGATTTATTTTAAGCCTTTGTAGGGGGGAAACCCAAGATAAACACCTGGGTCTTCTATACTGTTATTAAACTGCAGTCTTTAACGCACCAAAGCTGTTGTTCTGGATAGTGAATATATAAGAATATATTTTAAATTGCTTAAGTGCCGTTAACCAGTTGTTGACCAGTTGCTTCTAAGCAAACAACGTCTCTGGAGAATTAGAAAATAGTTGTCATGTGTTCTGCCTCTGCAGGTTTAAACGGAGGCGCTGGCAGCATCTGGGACTTCGTCAGCGGGAGCTTCTCTCCCAGCCCGTCGCCGGGGTTCAGCACCATCGCCTCGGCAACCGCCTCCAGCGGGGCCGACCTCGCCCGGTTACGGAGAGAGCTGGACGACGCCAAGAGGAAGATCAAGCAGTGGGAAGATTCTTGGCAGCAGGTTAAACAGGTTCGTCCTGTAATACAATATCTGTACAGCAAGCACTAGTTTACAACAGATTCAGCATGGTGCTCATTGTCCTGCCCGTTATTTAAATTACCCCAATTCCGCCACTATAAGAGCGAAACACCTTAGGCGTGACACTTACACAGGCCAAGCCGGAGCACCAAGAGCCCGCTCTCTGACTGGAGCTGGGCTTCGGTTTGTTCTAAAGACGAGAAGCAATGCCTAACTGTGCGCAAGCTCCCAGCAAATGAGAGTGTGGCTGGATAATGTTTGATTACTGTACGGCCAAAGTCTGGCCTGTCCTAGCAGATGTAGTGTCCAACCACTGCCAAGCTGGAGGAGTGAAGAAAGACACTGGTTAATCTACACCAAATCCATCTCACGCCTTTACATTTGTTTCCTGTATACAGTAAACCCTCTGGGAAATGGACTTTTCTTTAAAAGACTTGGGACGTAATGGACAAAATCTGCTAAAGGAGAAATGCTGGGCTTTCCTTGCAGTAACAATGAAGTGCTGAAATAATTGACCTACCCCTTTTTTACTCTTTTGTTGTTTACGATGCATGTTTTTTATGCTTTAGTGACATTTATGCAGTATATTTATCACACAGTAAATAAAGAGCTTGTATATTTATGATAAAGGTACAGGCACAATTTTTGTTGTTGATTACAATTGTTAAAATAAGTCAAAAGATCCAAAAAGCATATATACATAGTGAATATATTTTTTTCTCCTGTAATACTGTTTTTTTTTGTTGAAATACGTAATTTGTGTTTTAACAGACGTTTACACCTCTTCCCCTCATTAGTCTATTAAACTGAGAGTTAACTGTCAATATAAAGAAATTTATTTTGAAAATTGTTTTTCTATGTTATTTATTTTTTTAGATTCTGTGGTAGAAATATCAGTAATGCTACTGTGCCGGGCGTGTGCCGGGCGTGTGCGAGTGTGCTGACTGGGCCAGGCGTGTGCGAGTGTGTGCGCCGACTGTGCCAGTTGTGTGCGAGTGTGCCGGGTGTGTGTGACTGTGCTGACTCTGCGGACTGTGCCTGCCTGTTTGTAGGCTTGCGACGCCTGGCAGAAGGAGGCCCAGGAAGCGAAGGACCAGGCGAAGGCGGCTGAGGCCGAGCGGCAGCTGGCCTTCCAGAAGAGAGACGATGCGGAGCGCAGACTTAAGCAACTGCAGGAGGACTTCACCGCCGTGTGCCCCTCTCCCAGCGTACCCCTCCTGCGCAGCTGCGGGGACATCGACCAGCTGCCTTTACCAAAGCTTCACTCCATTCAGAGCCAGCTGCGGGCCGATCTGGAGCTCATCGACGGGGTAAGCGCGAGGAAATCCCCTATCCATTTCAAGTCCTGATCCTTCAGTGTCTCGTAGATGTAAATTAGCTCTCAAAGAGAGACATTGAACTTTTTCATCACACTAGATCTGTGCTAGATAAGGGCCTACTCATCAATCGGCGCAAGTTCACTCAGCAGGAACAGTGCACAATGTTATGTTATTGCAAATAAGTGTAGGAGCAGTGTGGGATCTGTCCAGATCTGAATTTGTTTATTCAAAGGCTTCTCCAGATCTGGACCTCTTCCTTTTACTTTGTCCCTGTTGCAGCTGTGCATCTCATTTTTGTCCAGAGTGACGTACTGAGACTCGTGGCAGAGTCACCAACAACAGGCCCACAATAGTGAGTCAGTGGTAGAGCTGGGGGGTTTAACTGGTGACATTTCTCTTAACCTTCCCGAAAGCTTTACTTGAAACATGCAAGTATGCAACAAATGGTCTGTAACAATTTCTTCAACCTGTAGATTTTTATGATTATTCCCAAATTGATTTGCTGCACATATTTACTTTCATAGTTCCATCCTGTAACTCTCCTGCTGTAGCCTGTTGGGCCACATACCCATACTGTTCTGTGCTCCATGATCCACCACCTGAGTTCTGAATTTGTCTGCCTTGTAACCTTAAACTTGACTTTTAAGTTCAGATTTTTGCACTCATTTCAGTGCTGTAATCAAGCTTGCCTCTTGGCATACTACAATGTTCAGCAAACAGGCCACGTGCAAATGAGAGGAAAAGAGGTTTTAGTGATCAGGAAAGACTCGTCAAAGTTATGAGCCAAAGACTCTACTTCCCAATCAAGCCCTAAACAGTTACCTGGAAAACAGTGCATTAAAGGGAAGCTGCAGTCCCACTTTCTCAGACCGGTTATTAAATTTCAGTAACAAAACAAATTCACTGACTGTATAGAGAAATCTTATGAATTTCGAATGAAGCACACTTTGTGAAAGTACTGTTAAGTCTCCATGTTGTCGCAAACCCCTGGTCTTTCCACGGGCGAGAGGGAGAGTTCCCACGAATTGCGACATGAAGCGGCCCTTCCTGCTCAGTAGTCACCATAATGACTGATGTAATGGGATGTACGAGCGAATAAGTACAGGTTATGCAGCAGACATTTGACCGCAGAAAATTTCCAACGTGATCTGCATGCAGAATTAACAAGTAAGTAGTAGTTGTTGGCAAAACGGTCTCAAAGTTGAGAGCAATATTTCTATGGATTAAGAGATGTGTTCACAAGCCTGCTTGTTTACAATCAAACAGGGCCGCTCCACCTCACCGGTTTTTGTGAAGTTTGTTTGCATCGTTCTGAATCGCAGATTATGGCCCCGCGTATACCTGGACGTTTAGTCTTTTTTTGTCATGTAAATGGGAGGTTTTGCAAGTTAATGTGTAACTTTGCAAGCTAATTTTATTGTGGTTTGAAATGTACTCATCAGTGCTGATTCGTTCTAATTCCGAAATATAAAAATCGCGCTGCAGTTCCCCTTTAATGTGAAGTGTTGTTCTGCTTGAAAGGTGTGTACTGGTGCCTGTTGCATGAAGGATACTAACTGTTCTTTTTTCATCACACAGGTAATATATCAGCTTCAGTCAAAGAAATGTATAGTGTGCCAAAAGCTGGATCGCAGCGTCGTGTTACAGCCTTGTCAACACTATGTGCTTTGTGAGAACTGCGCACCGAGCAAAACAGAATGTCCTTACTGTAAGACAAAAATACTGAAGTGGTGATGTGGAAATCTCCAAGGTACAATTCCTGGATCTAGCCCTTTGAAGAACTAATAATATGCTAACAGTTTAAATACAGCATTTTGTGTTTTTCAGTATTTCTTATAGTGTTTGAATTAATAGTTATATTAGAAATTATTAATGGTGTTTGACTGGTACTTTCTGACTGTTTTTTTCAGGAGACCTGCCAAGATTCTTTCTTTGTCAACAAACTTAAAATTTCAAGACGTATTCATATTTTTCCCTGCAGTTAATTTTTAAATATTTCAATTCGTATTATCCCAACCTCACAGCCCTCTTTAAGGCTCTTAATGTTTGCAGAATTAAGAATGTTTAAGAATTAAGAAAAGTATCAGTCAAACACTATTACTGCTACTAGACATGTGAAGAGACTCATTTCTTGTAAAAGCACTTTGTTGACCTGGGGATTTGTTTAAGGTTACTTTAGAAAATTGCTTTAAGCTGCTTTGTAGGATTTTTTCATTTTTTTTCTAAATATACTATTATATGAAGCTTTTTTGTTTGTGTACTGTGAAACATAATAGAATATTTCATATTCAATTTCTTACTGTTAAATCCTGGTATAGTAAATATATTGTTAAAAATTTCATATTCTAAAAATAGTACTTAATAAATATTAATATTAGTATTGTTGAACTTGCTTAGGATTTTTACATTTTTGAATCAAAACAGAAATTAAGTGCAAACTTTTAATGCTTACAAGCATAACCAGCAGTTATAGTAATATCATAAAGGCACATATGCTAAAGCATTTAGGAAATCAATTGCCATTTTAATTTTTTGTGTTTTTTAATATGTTTTGATGTTGGAGGAACCAACTTCTAACAGTTACAGTACCATAACCAAACGGTCCTGTGGTAATTTGCAACTGTTTGTTTCATAGAGAATTGGTTTTGTATGACTCCTAGCCTCTTGAAACTGTTATGAACAGACCTGATACTTGGCCACTTGCTCTCTTAAGTGCCTTGCCTCAGAAAATCTCAGCATTTGTGAGCAATTCAAGATTGTAGTAAAACAAATGGCTACAGGTGATTAAAAGGCTTGTGCAAATTTTGATTAGAAATATCATTTTTGGAGGGGGGGATGAGTAATGTAGGCTGATCTACTGAGCTCTTTGAAATCCTCCTTTCTAATTCCAGACTGGTCCATGTGAGAATATTGCTAATGTCAGTGCTTGAGGCCTGACAACAAGCTCACAGCTCCTGTCCCCAGTTCTCTGGTCTGATGAGCAATGGTGCTTTTTTTAGTGCTTTTATTTGGTGTAGCTATAGTATCGATTCAAATTGTTGACCATCTTTAATTTTACGTGGTTAGGAGTATGCAATTCAGGAAAAAATATCTTTCCATGTTCATGTAAAAACAACTGGCACTGTTCTTTTTTTGATATGGGGGGGAAAAAGAATTCTGTACTGTCTTTACAGGGGAAATCAATGTGTATTCTGTTCAGTCTGTGTTGTCAAATACGACCGTGTAATGTGCTTAGGTTTAAACTAATTTAAATGACCTACTACTGTGTTCACAAACAAGGTATTTGTGTTCATATTTCTTTATTCTGTATAGCTTGGTCCTTTAATATTTACAGCAAAGATTATGTTCAGCAGAAAGGAAATAGTTTCACTCACAACCCTGAGAAGTATATTGATGTATAAGAAACAAAATGGCAGACATGTTCATTTGCATGCCAGACAGAATTGCATTGGCCAGCTAATTCTCTGGATAGGGGTCCGTTTCATTGCACAGTAAAAAACATCAGTAAAATACACACAAAAACATAAGTCATACATTAGTGGAGGAATAGTGGTGTTTACAGTGTGTGTGTGAAATGCAGTAAGTGTTAGATGCATTTCTTAATCTGATTTCACATGTTATTTTAGGAACTTTCCATGCTTTTTCAAATCTGCAAATACAGCAACTTATACACCTGAAATCTTCAGATGTACCAAAAGTAAGACTCGTTGTGAACTATGTTAAAACAGTTTAAACAAAAAGCTTGCACTAGGCCAGCCTTACAGGGTTCAGTATTGCAAGGTGTGGACTAGTGAATGCTTTTAAGCACAGAAAGCCCCCTTCCAATATGGATTGCTAGTTTTTGGGGAAAGACTGTGCTTACAGCCCACAATAGGGTCATATATTCCTTGCATCAGATGAGACCCCTTAATCCCTCTTCTGGGTCTTATATAATTTAAAGTTTCAGTATTAACATCTTCTCCAAATTCTCTCTTCTTGAAATTTCAGATGTTTCTCAACAGGTGACTTAAATTAACATGACTAATGCATAGTAATTGTTGACTAATACACAGTCATTTTTTAACATACCAAAGTGCTGTCGCCTGTATTTTATTCACAGTGTTGCTCTCAAAACGTGTAAGAAATGTCAAAAAGTAGCAGTATTACAGGGAGCCCTCCTGTTTAATGTTAATGAGGGGGGAGGGAGAAAACTATTCTATCTGCCTTTGCTGACGATATTAATGGACTCTTTAGACCACGTTTTGTAGGTTTTTTTGCCAAAGACCTTTCCTGTTCTAGAGTTGTTCTTTTTGTAATTTTATTTTAATTTTTAACATTCTAAGCAAGAAAACAGCTAGAAACCAGATTTTTGAGAAATGACCAAACTTTGTTCAAATTTAACTTGTGTATTTATCAGATCCTGTAAAACAGAAATGTAAAATGTAAACTGTATCATTCAATTCAGGACGACGTCTTGTGGTAGATATAAGGAATGCACAAGTTTTTTTTTTAAATAAATCATAACTGTTTGAACTGGCAGTAGTTCATAGTGAAGGAATGTTAGAAAAACGAATGGTATTTGTGTTAATATTCCAAAGTGGCCATATGGATCAGTACTTCATTAAGAATTAGTACAGTTTTTTGTGCTGAACTGTCACTTATTTGTAAGCTTCGTAATCAATATCGCATATGTATGGTTGTGCACTACTATTCTGCTGTCAGGAGGAACTATATATGGAGTGTAAGGTGCTTTCTTTAGTTTTCATTTGCCTGGTTTATTATCATTATTCAGTTAAAGTTTAACTGGATTATCTAACATCATTTATTTTTAACAGAATTATCACTGTTCAGTTAAAACAATTGAAATTTAGTTTACTTTGTATTTTAAACCCAGAAGTGGCTAGATTATCACATAATGCTTAGCAATTTGTATTTGTTCTAGCCTAAAATAAGACCAATTTGCAGATGCATTTAAAAAAAACCTTCAGCTTCACTTTGTGGGCTCGAACCACCAACCTTTCGCCTGTCAGTTGCGCCGCAGACGTGTGTAGAAACGCCCAGAGAGATGAGGTCCGTCGGGGTTGAGGCAGTGAGTCATGATCGTTACCAGAGGAAGCCTACACAGATGCAGTCTCAGCCTTGCTCGCACAGCCCGAGCCTTCTGTCCTGCTTCCCACAAAACCCGTTGTTTGGCTCAAAGGAACTGACCTTTGCCGGTTTTGGTCGTGTTTAGATTTCACCTTGGTGCAGCAGTTGCATAATAAGAGAAGAGCATTCTCGCCATAGCTGTTGATGAAAGGTAACCAAGCCACAACTCCAGTCTCCAAGGGAAACAGTATTTTCAGTTTTCACTTGAGCCCTTGTGTTTTGTAGCTGAAGTTATGTGTAAATGTCGTTTTCATCCCACCTTCAGTCTGGAACAGGTGTTGCACTGACTTGATCACGAGTGACAGCACACTCTTGCATTCCTTAACTCGCACAGATTACACCAATACAGCCCAAGCAGCCCCACATGAACTAATGTCCTTTATCTTTGAAATATGCCCTTTTGCATATTTGCAAGTGAAGAATACAAAGAAGTAACTGTTCATTCACTACACACCTGGGTTAGAAGGTTCTATTTAAAGAGACAGCAGACCCAAACCTGTTAGAACAAGACACGCAAGTGAATGCTTTTTGGAGCAGTGGTGTTCTTACCCTGTGCTAAATTCAGCAGTGCTATTGGTTTAGCTTGTCAGTACCCCCTATCGGCCCCAGTTTAGTAGCCTCTTTAGTACCAAGGCTGATAAAAGTACATAGTTTTCTTGTAGGTATATCACTTGTTTCAGAGTGGACATCCTAGTAAAGGCTCTGATATGAGCACAGTTGAGCTCTATGATCACGGGTTCAAGCCGTAGTCGCATCACTAGCCGATGGTGACCAGGTCTCCCCAAGGGTAGAGTCCAGCAGAATGAGTGCTAATGATGGGATGGGCATAGTCTCGGTGACTCAGCGCCCCCCTGCGGCCACTTGGGTGCAGTTGGCTTAGGGCTCTGCTGTGTTTGTCGTGGGGATGACGAGTGACACGAAGGTGGGGCAGCAGAATGTCCACACTTCCTCACGGGCTTGTAGCAGTGAGCCAAGACGAGTACAACACAATTAGGTGTTTCATATTGGGAATAACAAAATTCATTGGGCATTGTGAATTTTAATAACGTACCAGCGTTACACTCTTACATGTGACGAGGTGTTAAGGATTTAAGAAGACCTATAGATTAACAGGTTTCTACCATCCTCCGAACCAGATATAGGTTTATCATTCCACCCTGGACTGCTAATGACTTAATTGGAATCAGCCCCTGAGCGAGGAGCACTCTTTAGGATGGGGTGTCATGGGATCATGGTCTGTCTATTACACCAAGAAAAGTTAAAAAAGCTGTTTGTCACTCATGTACCCATCAGTGTGTGTATAGGACTTGTAAAGGACTTCTTTGGTGCTTTTGCTCACTTGTGTTTTTCATTTCTTCCTGTCCTTGATAATCTATGATTCCCAACCCTTTTAGCGTATCTTGTGTATTTATTCAGTATTTTCACACATAGACACAGGGCCACCGGGTGTTTTAGTTAAAGACATAGTCAGGTGACCTGTAGGCTTGAGCTCCTAACATCTGGATCTTGCATCTCAACTTGCACTCGTAAGGTGCCTTTATGGTTGAACCATTTCAGCTTCCTTATTCTGCCCGTGGTTTTTCGGAGCTTGTCTGCTGTCCAGCTCATGCCCCTTTCTGTGTCCCCTTGCAAGTAGCGGCATGTAGGTCTCGCCCCGCTTGGTAATTGGTTGTGGTTGCAATAAAGGTGCTGGATTTGCAATGGAATTGCAACACTGGCACTGCCCTGCTGAGGTTGTCCTTGTGAAAATGTGCCAACTGTGCTCTCCTTCGTAAGGGCTGCTGTCTCTGCGGCTGCCTTCGTAATGCCTCATTCTCCTCTGCGGGATCCTGTCTGCACCGGCTGGTTGGCCTTGAAGACTGCACTGTGCGTAGCTTGTAGTAGGAATCTGAGACGAAATCTCAGCCTTCAATGGCCTTCAAAACAAAATGGGATGTTCCCCATCTGAGATGACTGGTGTCCCTAGCACTCAGTGTAGTCTTAAGGGGTACAATAGCACTGAGTCTGGCTATTAAACCTTTAAACCTTCAAGGTTGAAGGGCTGGTAATTGTTCCAAGGCTATAAGGCAGTAAATAGTTAATGCTAGATCAGGGATCGTCAATCCAGATCATCTCAGCTCCAGAGTCTGCTGTTTTATTTTTTCAGACGATTTCTGAAAAAGCGTAGATAAACCTTTGATCTATGAATTTGCTTAACAGATCTCCGCATCTCCAAAATGTAAAAAAAAAAACTAAACTGCCAGTTTTGTGTTGCCGTGTCTAGAGGCATAAATCTCAGAGGGATTCAATTTTTCCTTTTGTCCCATTTCTGAGCTCCCGCTTGGTTTCAAAACTTGAGCTCATTCCATTCCTGTTTTCCTTGGATTAGGATACAAAGGCAGTCGAGACAAACTGAGCTAGAAGACTAGATGGAATCCACATATCCACATGCGGTTTGTGAGAACTGAAATGCCAGAAGAGAGGGAAAAAGGGACTGAGCTGAGTGATGATTGATTAATTGTTCTTTTTATTGTTGGTTTTACAGTATGATCTGTGCCTGCTTTACTCCACTCGGTGCTTTCCCTTAACAAAAACTCAAAACGAGCTGTTTTTGTGAATAAATCGGTTCCAATGCCTCTTTCTTACAATGTCCCTCTCCCTGCCTCTTCATCGGCCTTAAGATTGTTTGTAGGTTTTAGAATTGCACTTAATTAGTTAAGGTATTTTTTATTTTCACATATTTCAAAATTGATAGAATTTCAGTTGATCCATAAACTAGACCAGACAATTGATACTGAAGAAAAGCTCTTGAAGAGATCAGCTTGTCAGTGAACCGTAATGGAAAGATTTTATTAAGGGTTGGGCGAGGATAATCTTTTGCATTCATATATTTTTTGTATTATTATGCTGGTGAAATTTTGAGGACTTTTATGCAATCATGTATGGAATGCAACATAAAATTGTTTAGATTGAACTGAATATCCAAGAATTTTCAAATAGAAATTGTATCAAAGTGTTAACTGTAAAGAGCAATTTTGTATTTGTTTTTAATTTTTAAAGGGTTCGGAAAAATGTTCTAACTTCACAATTATCGGAACCACTGATCCCTAAAAATACACATTGTCGCTGAACTTTTTAAAATCATTTTAACCCAATCCTTGAATGTATCATTCACAAATTTGGATAAAAGCCACTTTAAGAGAAGGTGGAATATGTTTGCATTAAGATGTAGCATTAGTTTTGTGAAATGGCTATACTATACAAAATCTCTAAAGTATGAATTAAGAATTTATTGTGAATGCAGTTTTTGAGTTTGCATATTTATCAACCTAACGGTAAAGAGATGGAAAAATTGAAAAAGTTTATTTTCTCAGGGTTTTACAGTAATAACTGTAGAAAAAAGAAAGGTGTTAAGTTCTTACAGACTTTAAGCTGCATTTAATAGGTTTAATTGCTTAGAATCCAACTGGGGTAGAATTTATTGTAGAGATTAAAAACATATTCCTTATTTTATTATGTATTGATATATAGAATAGCTCATATCCTAACTAGTGTTGAAATATTCCTAGAAATATTACTGTCAGTATATTAATTTTGTGTATGTGTTGTCAACATAAGACCTTAATTGCATATTATGGGAATTTTCATGTTTAATTTATGAAAGTCTTTAATGGTGTAGCTGAGTGTCTAGAAGAGATTGAAGACCCGAATGGCTTTTTTTCTTAAAGAGTAGAAGGTATTATTTATAATGCATAATCATTTACTTGTAGTGTATTGTTTAAAATTGTTAACACTTGTTAAAATTTTTACACTATAGCATTTATGCAATGGTTTACAGAATTCATGGAATTATTTTTATTATCATTATCGGAATTAAAATAATTTTTGATCTTAACCATTGTGGTGTGTCTTTTTTTCACAATCTCACACGTAGCATGAGGTTTATCCTTAATATATTATTTCATGTCCTAGAATAGATTTAAGTAGAGATTTGGAAAACAGTTCTTATAATAATGAAAATCTCCCATTTTTGTCTAATGAGTACAAAGGTAAAAAACAATAAAATTAAGGAAAATAAACTATATGGTTCACCTCTTTTTCCAAATTCAACATTTCAACAATTAGAATATACCTATTTATCTTTATTATATAAATTACTGTTGAAGTGTTATCCACATCCTTCCTCTCTGAAAAAACATCAGTTTTAAAAGCTTAATTACGGTTATCACCTTACTTCAATTAAATGAATCCTATTAATAAACATTGTGCATTGTGATACAATTAATTGAGTCCCATTACTGGTAAATAACCATGTACTAGAGTTGAATACGACCTCTGTGCAACTTAATTGATTTTGATTGGACTGCTTTGAAAGCAGTAGAAAAGTGTCTTACAATAACTTGACCTATGAAAAAATAAGTTATGAATTTAAAGCAAAGCTTTCCTTCCTTTGAGTGTTAACTCCTCATAAAGATATATTTAAGGAGATAGTACAGTTTCTCTTTTGTGCAGTAATATCAATTAATGGTGTTTATAATGCCTCTATTAAAAGATCTTTTAGGGATTTTTATAGCTTACATAAGAATATAGGAACACAATTACAGCTGAGCCCACCCAGTCTGTTTCTTAAAAGAAGTCAGAACGTCTGCTTTAACAGAGGTAATTTGTGCTATTCTCCCCACATCACCGGTGTGTCCTGTTCTCAGTTTGAGATGCGCTTCTGCATCATTTCCTTTATCGTTTGGGTTGAGGGTCATGTCAGCACAGTCTCTGAAACGGAATCCATTTACACTGAAAGCCTGAAGGCATTACTAGACGTTGCATCATTAAGCTGTCATGCACTGCAATCTGTAGTCTGTAGAAGTTGGAAAGCAGCAGGAGGAACATCAGAGAAAATGCTGTCTGTTGCACGTGGGCTCTGTAATTCCCCCTAGTGAAGAAGGAATGGGTGTGAAGCCAAGTATGTGGTGGGTGGGGGCAGAGGAAGTGGGATTATCCCTTGTCTCTGACCCCTCCCTTGCTGCAGTTATAGCCTCTGCTCTGATTGGGCGGATCTAAGGGCTGCCGCCATGCCATTGGTTCCCTGGCTGCCACCTCCCTCCTCCCCCCCCTGCAGAACTGCCTATGCACAGCGGCTGTGAGCTGTCAGTGTCTTTGGGTTGGGCTCAGAGGCTGCACCCTGCCATGGACTCCTCAATTTAGACTCTCCAGCGCCTGCTGACTCCCGCAGCCCAGCACACAGCCAAACATGGAGTGAGTATACTTGGGCACCGCTAAGGAGCTAAACAGCTGAGAAAAGTTTGCGTACCAATTTTAATGTTGCGTTCCGTGTTTGTGGTACATAGAAGTTCACATTTTGCTTGATGCATTTCTCTTTTTTAAAAAAAGGCAGTGATTAATGTATATCTATGCAATGTTTTGAGCTTCTTCTGCACTCTAAAAGTGGAAGAATTTGCTCGCCTTTCTAACTGCATGGTGCTTTGTGTTGTCTGCTTATAGTACAGGCTAAAGACAGACTGAGTATGTGGTGGGGGGGCTGGGGAATGAGCAGGCTGGTGATTGCACAGCACATTGCAATGCAGGTTCAGCACTCTGCCCTTGCCAGATTGTAGCCATTAACAAGCTCTCAGCTGCTTGAAACCAATGAAATAATACGCAAAACAGCTGAGGCTCTTGAAGAACGCTTGGCTACTGTTCCGGCTCATTAATTAGGTTGCTATTTCTCATAGTGATCTTAATTACCCCCCCATTCCCCTATCCTCTGCAGGCTTCAAGATGGAACCGCTGCTTGTTCGGTAACACAGCCCCTGCCAGAGAAAAGACCCCTGCAAGCCCCGGAGACGACCGCCCTGAGTGCTGGGGATGGATTGGAGCGAGTTGCTGCAGCTGGGGAGCCTGTATCCCGAACTTGCTTCACTGACCGCTGAGCCTGACCTGCCCGTGTGCGCCGAGCTGAAGGAGGAGAGGCAACTGGGAGGAAGGGGCGGCTTCGTGCTCTGTTCTGACACCCAAAGTAGGTCCCTTGTCTTTACAGTTTATGCAAAGGCTGAGCACCATGCAGGTCGCTGTAGCAGCAAGGGCAGAGACAGTCATTTCACTTATTTCATTGCACCACCTGGTCCTTGCCCATCTCTTTCTAGTAATATCTTTGCTGTTTCAGCTGTTCCTTGAGCGCTGAAGGGTTTAGGATTTCTGTTTAGTTCCGCATTTACTTAATTAAACCAGCTAAAGCTTAAAATCTTTTTTTAAAAACATTATCCGATCAGTTGGGTGTTTTTTTTAACACTTTTTATACCCACGACAACACCTACAAGCGTGTCTCCTCTGACGCAGCCACCAGGGACGATCACTCGTCCTTTGACGTGCCGCGAGCTCCACAGCGCCATGCAGGATAGTTAGCGCTGATTGGAGGAGAAGTGAGACTTGCGCTCGCATCAGTGCAAGCTCATTGGCAGCTGTAAGATTCCAGGTGTCACTCGTGCGGCAGAAAGCTGAGGTCCCGGTCTGTCTTAAGTTCATTAACCACACTGATTGCAACTTGAGAGTCGGGACTCAAGACCATTCTAACGGATAGTCTCTCCCCCACAAACACGACTAGAAAAGAGTTGAGTGTGCAGGTTTGTACCTGCCCTCTATTCCTTAATCGCAATAGGAACAATCCTTGGATCAAACCTTCGTGTAGCTCCCTGTGTTATGTCTCTGCCCTCCATGTTTGCTTCCATGCACATTAGTAGTGGTACTGCCTCGGAAGGGCAGGCAGGGAGGCAAAGTAAAGCTCATCCATCACTTTTAGATTGCCTTTAGTCTCTTTGTGTAAAACAGATAAAGAAAAAGTTTGTGAACCCTTTGGCATTACCTGGATTTCTGCATCAATTACTCATAAAAATGGGGTCTGATCTTCAAATAAGTCACAATAATAGATAAACACAATCTGCTTAAACTAATAACACACAAACAATTGTACTTCTTGTCAGTTGTCGTGGAAACTTTTACGGTTAGAATAAAGGAGCCACAGAAAGTATTCTCGATTACTTAGTAAGGTCTTTATTCATATTGCAATATGGGAAAAAGCCTTCACCCATTTGTGCAGAGAAGTGAAAGCTGATTCAAAAGCAAGCTGGGAGAGCCCTTGTTTTATATCTTTTTTTTAAGTTGATGCAACACTTCAAGGACAGGCAAAACAGTAATTTTCCATTCCTTATAGGTTTTTGCTTTAAGCAAAGAATAGCAGTTATTCAAATAGTTTCTCATACTCCCTTCTTCAAGCAGCAGAGATAAACATTATTAAAACTTCCTGTGCCCTTGACGAGTTGGGTGCTATCACACTTTGTTCTGAGTATCCAGCTGCTTCTGCAGCACAGCTCTGTCCGTAAACAACATTTTTAGGATAAAACACTTTTTCTCAGTAACTTTCCATTACACAGTACTGAACACATCGTTTAAACAGTCACAGTCCAGGCTGGAAAAAGTATGTGAACCCTTGTATTTAGTAACTGGTAGAACCTCCTTTAGCATCAGTAACCTCCACCAAATTTTTCCTGTAGCTGTTGATGAGACTTGCACAACGGTTAGGAGGAATTTTAGACCAGTCCTCCTTACAAAACTGTTTTAGTTCATTGACATTTCAGGGATTCCTAGGAATTCTGGGATTCCTTGCGTGAACAGCTCTCTTCAGGTCGTGCCACAGCATCTCAATTGGGTTGAGGTCTGGACTCTGACTTGGCCATTCCAGAACACGAATCTTCTTCTGTTTAAGCCATTCTGTTGTTGATTTACTCCTTTGCTTCGGGTCATTGTCTTGTTGCATCACTCAACCTTTTTCAAGCTTCAGGTGACAGACTGCTACCTTGACATTCTCCTGTAAAATTTCTTGATACAATTTTGAATCCATTGTTCCCTCTAATTCTCCCAGAAGCATTATGGAACATCCAGGTGGTCGCTTGCAAACTTGAGACGTGCAGCAATGTTGTTTTTGGAGAGCAGTGGTTTCCTCTGTGGTGTCCTTCCATTAACACCATTCGTGTTCAGTGTTTTTCTTATAGTGGGCACATGAACGGAGACTTTGGCAAGTTCAAGAGATTCCTGCAGGTCCTTTGCTGTTACCCTAGGGTTCTTTTTCACCTCCTTCAGCATTGCACGCTGCACTCTTGCCCTGATCTTTGCAGGACAGCCACTCCTAGGGAGAGTAGCAACAGCTTACTGTGGATTGATGAACACCCAGGCCTTTATAAATGCTTTTGTAACCTTTGCCAGCTTTATGCATCACTACAGTTCTTCTTCTGCATGGTTCACATGAACAGCTCTTTCTTGAGAAGAGCAGACTCTGTCAGTAACCAACCTTTGTGTGTCTTTTTTATAGTGCAGGGCACCTCCAGCCCACAACGCCAATCTCATCTCATTGATTGAAACGCCTAACTCCAATTAGCTTTTGGAGACGTCACTAGCTAGAAGTTAACATACTTTTTCCAACCTAGACTGTGAATGTTTAAACAATGTGTTCAGTATTGACAAGAAGAAGTACAATTGTTTGTGTGTTATTAGTTTAAGCAGATTTTTTGTCTGTTATTGTGACTTACTGTAAGATCAGACCACATTTGTATGAGTAATTAATGCAGAAGTCCAGGTAATTCCAAAGGGCTCACAAACTTTTTCTTGCAACTGTATTTGATGATGAGGAAAGTGTTTGTGATATGTTCATAATTAATTGTTTGGAAGCATTGTTAAAAGAAATATCTCCTCTTTTGTTTTTGAATAAGACTCTTGACAAACCACATAAGGACTTTTCTCTTTTGCAGGCATTTCCGAGATGGAATGGATGGGAGAGAAGATGGATGTACATCTCTTGGACAGTCTGATCGAGGATGCCCCAGTGACCTCAAAAGATCTGCTACACGTGGTTGAGAAGACTTTGAAATTCCAGGCTGATGTCACATCCACTACACAGAGTTCAGCTGCAACTCATGTTCAGCCTAAAGGAGGAGGGCGGCTCCAGGGCCCATCGGTCTCAAGCGATCAAGTGGCGCCCTGTACACCTCCTCTATCCCCACACTTTGCCACACAGCCTGCCACGGTGGCCTCTTCCCATGCCAGCTGGTTCTCTGCAGGCCAGCCGACAGAAGTTCTGGAACTTCCCTATGAATCCGTGTTGCTGCTGGATGGTTTAGTTGCTCCCTCTGGCAGTGAGGATAATGGGATGGATTCGGAGTGCGATGATGCTAAATTGGTGACCATCCCTGGAGCTGTGCCTTGGCAAGAGCTCCCGGAGCCTCCCGCCAACATCCCACTCTGCATCATGAGCCAAAACGGCTCGCTGGTGGAGAAGGCCGCGGTGCCCTCCTCTTCCTCCCCGGGCTCCAAGTGCACTGTCAACCGAAAGCACAGGAAGAAGGAGCAGAACAAAAACGCAGCCACGAGGTACCGGGAGAAGAAGAGAGCACAGAGGGCGGCACTGGAAGTCGAGCTGCTCCAGCTGGAGGACACAAACAGAGAGCTGAAGGAGAAGGTGGCCTCACTGGCCACAGAGATCCAGTGCCTGGAAGCACTGTTAGAGGAGGTACAGAGCGCTGGAGAGGAGAAGAGTGTGGTGTTTTCCAAACCACAGCAGACCAAGAGCTGAGCCATAGCTGAAGGTCACAGCAGATCAATGAAATGTGCTATCTTGGTCGAACGTGGTTATTGCATGGCTCCTCGGAATAACCGAGTATTAATATTCTAGTACTTCCCGCGGGACTTTTAATTGTCCCTCTCCAATGCAAGCTTTCAAATCATGTGACAAAGGACTCCGTCATGTGCTTTTACAGGATGCCTGTGGACCTTGTGCTGTTGAAAAGTATTTTGGTCAGTAACCAGCTCTATTCCAATTACATGTGTAATAGGCACTACATGTATTACATGTGTAATGTTTCCAACCTACCTTTCTCACTAGTGTTGGCTCCAATACACATTTGAAACTGTTTGTCTTGCTGTCTCATGGGTATTACCAATTGGTGCAACATACTTAGTAACAAGTCACATGTACTTGAAGCTCTCCAAAATAACTGAAAAAATGTATACAGAACTAGAATGTTTGCTAGTGAGTTCAGATCTTCAAAAAATCACCTCAGTGCAGCTGTAGCGCTCTTACACAAATGTTTTATTGCTGTATTACTGTGGAAGCCAGTCCTCTAGTGTGATAATCTGTTGCTTGTGTTGCCAGAATCAGGGGAGCAGCCTGTAACATTAGTATTCTCTTGATCTTTATCCTGGGACATCAGTTGCTTTCTCAGTGTACGTACTGTATAGATACCAATTTCCACTTGGAAAAAAAAGAAAAAGTCATGCTGTCTCATTTGACAAAGCAGTGTTCTCAAAATTCAAGAATTGTCTCAGTTGTTTAAAATAAAGGGATCATTTTAGACTGTAAATTGAGTTAAAACTTACACTGGTTTCCCCTTTAAAGGGGAACTGCAGTCACAATTTCTCAAACTGGTTTTTAAATGTCTGTAACAAAATAAATTCATTGATGTTACAGAAATAAAAATGACAAATTTCAAATTAAGCACAAGATCATGAAAGCACTGTAAGTCATCATGTTGTCACAAACTCGCATTCAAGTTCCTGCGAATTGTGACGTGATTTGGCCCTTCCTGCTCACTAGTCACTGTGATGACTACTGTAATGCGATGTACGAGCGAATGAGTACAGGCTGTGCAGCAGATGTGTTCCAGCGTGATCTATATGCGGAGTTAATACGTAGTATTTGTCTGCAAAACAGTCTTGAAATCGAGAGCAATATTTTTATTGGATTAAAAGAGATATATTCACAAGCCTGCTTGCTTACAGTGTAATAGGGCCGAAATGGGTCACTGGAGGTTTTGTTGCTTTGTTCTGAATCACAAAACATGGCGCTGCGTATACCTGGAAATTTCTTCTATTTTGCGATGTGAACTGGGGGTTTTACAAAGTTACTGTGTAAATTTTACTTTAATTGTGGTTTGAAATGCACTCATCAATGCTGATTCTTTCTAACCCCGAAATATGAAAAAAGTATTGCAGTTCCCCATTACATTTAATGTGGTTTCTTAATTTTAATAGTTTCAACCAGGGAAATTGGTGAGAACTTTCCTTTTATCCATTTATTTACAAAAATATACAGCACTTAAATAAACAACTCAAAGATTTTATGCAAATAAGAAGGTATAACTGAATGTGAACTCAAGGGGGTGGGGTTGGTTTGGATTTCCAGTTCTGTTCTCCAGACTGTGCTCCTGGGGGCCACAGCCCGTTTCACGCCTGGCAGTAATTCTCCCAAAAGCTGCCTTCAAGGACACAGCTGTCAACTGGTCTCTCAGACTCATTTACCCTTGTTGTGAACAAACATCCTGATTGACACCAGTTTCTCAACCTTTGAGCAATAATTACGAAGGCAAAACCAATCCTGAGGGACCCCACGTCTCTCGTTTTGCCCCTCTCTCACTTCCTGTGTCCCCATTTTCCTTTGGCGTGTGACTCGAGGTGTGCTCAGAGGAGATCGCCAAGCTGCCCGGTGTCGCCACGGAGATGCTCCTCTCTGGGAGTCGCAGAGCGGGGCGTGGCCTGAGGGCTGTCAGAGTTCTCTGAGGAAGGACAGAGACAAAAAACTGACCAACAACAGAGGACACAACCACGAGTGGGGAAAATCTGGCTGGACTCTGAGAAGGATCAGCTCCTTTTCTGTCATTTAACAAGTGACAGAAAAGGAGCTGATCCCTATGACACAGAGCGGAGAGCTTTACCTGGCTGCTTGCTGTAAGTGATCCCATTCTGGGACAGCAGGGCCTGCAGTCTCTGTAGCTCCGCTCTCTGTTTGTAGAAATCCTACACAGGAAACAGATAGCTGGCCTTAGCCTGCAGTGAAGGCAACCAGGCACCTCTGCTAACTTCACTTGGTATTTTCAAAAATACAAAGGTACCAAACTCTAGCCCTTGATGTTTCGCTAGTTTCCTAGGTCCCTAGCCCCAAGACTGAAACTGTGCTTCACAGACTTAAAGATGCCACATGTACACTAGGCAGCCTGATAGTATGCAAATTCATTGCTACTCTACTGAAATGGCACAAGTGCTATGGAACTGTTCTGTCACATTATTTAGGGATGCAGGACAGCAGGAAACCTAGACATGCAAAAGGCATGATTGTGGGGTGTTAATGAGGGCTAATGCCAGCTCATGGGCTAGGAAATGTCTGGGTTACAGCTGAGCTGCTGTGGAACCACAAAGTGTGGACTCACTGTGCTGTAGCAGAGCCTACCCAGCACACAGGGCCTGGGCTGAAAACCACTGGCAGTGATGAGAAGCAGTCCCAGAAGTCGGGCTAGGGGTTTAGACGGCTATCATACACGTGTGCACTTATTTTCCCTAATCTAAATGCTTCATTGTTTCTTTATCTGTGTGCATAGTGTTTCTTGAAAACATAATTAAGAATAGGACCTGTACCAGTCCATTATTATACTGGGGTCACAAGAGTAACATGGCACTGTAACACTGTAGGAGGTGGAGGGTGATTCCACACTTCACTAAGTGCAATGCACATTCACATACTGCACTTATTTGACAATCACTGTACACCTGAAGAAGGCTCCACAGCCAAAACATTGTGTCTCTTTACTTTATCTTTCAGCATGGTATAAACCTTTACCTGTTCCTTTGTGGCCTGTGTATGCTGACACAGCTACCTACTTGAACTTATTTGACAATGGCCTCTTTCCATTGTTAGTGCAACACTTGTTCTTTCTGCTAAACTGATTTTTCTGAAGGATGGAGTGTGAATGCTTATTTGCACAACTCCAGATACTTCCACATATTCTTAGTCTGAAACTCGTAGAAATCAGAGATTCCCAGCCTTAATTCAGCAGAGAACCTGTTATGTGTCTTCCTGTTAGTGGTCGACACCCAACTGACCACTAGAATAGCTGGATTCTAGACACTGAGTCTTGTTAATGGTGGAGATGGAGTGTGACAGTACTGACGCATCGAACCTGACAAAAAACGGGGATTTTATATGTTTGATCAGAACATCCAATGCACAGCAAAGGGTGTAGCAGTGACCCAAGCTGCACACACATATTAAAACTAAAAAAATGGGAAAGTGAACAATCTGCAGAACAAATACAAAAGCATATTTCTTAAAAAGGTAAGTTACGTACAGGGGATGATTGGAGACACTTTTATGGGGGAAGGAATTTGAGCTGAAAGTCTGTTTTCTTTCCCCTGGAATCACAAACCTCACTGCATTGCTCCAGAGAGTCGAACGTTTTGGAGGGATGGTCGCCAACTTCCTTCTTCTCCTTGGGCTTTGCAGTTTTGAAATATCCAGCTTCTTCAAAGATCGCCTTCAGCTGCTTGTTGTATCCCTTTGGACAGGAAGAAAAGCACCACAGAGTATGACACAGGAGTCACCCGGTTGACTCTATAAACTCTTCAGAAAGGGACTTGATGAATGTAAGAGAATCCAGACTTTGTTTTCTATCACAATCATCCATCCATTTTTTAATTGCTTTATCCAATTTAGGGGCACAGAGCAGCCAGACACACACACCAGGGCTAATTTACCTAGAAGCCAATAAACCTACCAGTATTGTATGTGTTCGGACTGTGGGAGGAAACCAGAGCATGCTGTGGAAACTCACATGCACACATGGAGAACATACAGTGATCCGCACAGTTATCCCCAGGAATTGAACCCAGAGCCCACGAGCTATGAGCCAGCATTGCTAATTACTGCGGCATGAGTAGTAGAAAGGAGGAGGAAGCTTTTATTCAATGTGACTTACACCTGAACCCATTTATACAGATGGGTATCTCATTGGTGCAATCTGAGTGAAATATCTCACTCAAGAGTGTAACAGCAGACTTCATCTGGGATCTGAACCCCCAGCCTTCCAGCTTTGAGCCCTAACCAGTCCTCCACACAGCTGCTTCCTGTATTTTACAGGGCAGGTACAGTAAGTTTTATCTTCAAAAGATAATGAAGTACACCGTGGGTGTCTGAATGTAAAATGCCTGGATGATTTGGTCAGGGTAAAATATTTGTTTCTGTGCACCTACCTGGAGTGCTGTGTGTAAGTGACTTTGAATGAAAATGGGAATTAGGGGATGACATTAGCCACTGTGACAGATGACACAGCAGTGAATTCTGCCCACCTGCTCGGTGATCAGCTGGTCGTATCGGGCTTGCTCAACCTCGTCCCATTCTCTCTGCAGCTCTTCGGGAAGGGTCGGGTAAACTGCAAAAACCAGATAATCCCGCGGTTATCCAGCTCTCTTCCATCTTTTGCGCCAATTAAACAGCTTTAATTGAAGTTGAAAAAGGCATCTGCTTGCTGTACGAACATCGAACAAAGAAGCCTACCCGAGTGTGTGCTACATGGAGAATCATACAAAACTGGGTTGCTACATGCAGATTTATTCAGATTAAAGGGATTATTTGAACACTTTAATACCCTTTTGACAATGCCCCCGAAAATGTTCACAATGAGTTATTCTGCAAGCTTTTCTTTTCAAAAGCAGGCCACCTGCTCCCTTACCCAGGAGAGAGTGTGGGTGGCAGACCAGAGGGGTCTCAAACGTCAAGGCGTAGACGCAGGTAGTGGGCTCCGACACTTGGGCCAGCCTACTGCTGTTCCCACAGGAGAGCACGACCTGCAGGATGAGAAAGGAAAAGACACCGACGAGCTGAGCGGTTGTGTGAAACTGGATTCTGTAAGGCAGGCAAATAAAAACATTTGGCAGCTCTGTTTCCTTCCACAATCCCAGCCCACATTTGGATTCTGTACAAAAATCTCGAAATATTTTCTGGACTTCAGGGTGCCAATCACTGAATAATGTAAACTGCAGCAGGCAGTGTGGTCATAAACAGAGTTCAGTTCATAGCAGACTTTATACTCATTTATATTTGTAATACCTAAGGTTTTAAGATGACTGGCAAATCTTTTTTTTTCTGGTTACCTTTGTGTGTTAATAAAAAACATAAGTAAAAAAAAAACAGAGGTCAGATCTGAGTAAATGCTATGGGTTGGGAAGGTCAGAGGTCTTTCTGGGCCTGAAGAGCATTGAGTTGTGGGTGACCAGAATCAACTGCTCAAACGTGCCTCCTCTCAGTGCCTCATCCTGTCAGTGCAGTGTGGCTGCGGCCTGCCAACATGCCTCCTGCGACGCCAAGACCCGAAACGCTGTGTGAGCTCCTACCTTTGTTTGCCTGTTTTTGTTCCCACAGGAGTCTCCTTCCCTCATCCACATGGCGACGAAGGTGTTGTTCGCAATCTCCCACTCGTGCCAGATCCTGTTGGTGTTAGAAACACAGAGACACCAGAGCTCTGCTGAAGGAGGGAGCCAGACACCCCTCTCCCAGGGGTGCTCAGGGGAGCGAGAGAGGGAACTCACCCCAGGATCCCACTGTAGGCGTTCCACCGGAAGGACTGCTCGTGCTGGGTGATGTTGTGAAACGGGCAGAACTCGTACTTGTACCTGTCAGGACACACAACCTGTTCGTTTGTCGCAGGAATGCAAGGTGCACAGGTACACTTCCTGCAGTGGCCCTCCAGCTTCTGTGAACCCGTTTAAGGGTAATTTCCACAGTTTCATGAAAACCAAATTGAAATCGTGCATAGGAAGCATAAACCATCATTAAGTTGGGCTCTAAAAATGTGTTTTATGCCTTACCACTGGTGGCCAAAATATTAGCAACTCACTTATCAAAGGAGTACATTCTTGCAGTGGTGGACAATGTGGAGCAGCTCTGAGGAACACGACAGGCAGACCTCCATTACCTTCCTAGGCTCAGGGCTCTGTCCTGCCGTTCCTTATAACTGGTGAAACAAGCAGTTCAACCCTACAGCCCAGTACGTTTGTACATACCTCAGCCATGCAACATTTCAAAACCTTGCGGATACACATTATAGCCTGTTCAAGCTGTTTGCCCTGGTCAGGCCAGTTGTTTTGGCTATATTTCGGCAAAACATTTTAATCCTCATTCACACATGGGCACATGTCGGTGTTCGTGTTTGTGCCCGTCTGATGGAATACTTACATCGACTCTATGAAGCTGAAACACTTCCCCGCCAGTCTGTGGAGATGAGCTGGCCCTTTAAGAAAACAGCACAGCACAGCATTAAAACGTCAAGTTCTTCGTTTGGCTGAGCCCGACTGATGAATTTCCCAGCCTCTTTGTGGAGCAGAGGTGCTCATTCATGCAGAGTGGGAAGGCCAAATTGTGATTTTCATGCACCCCTGCAGATCGTGGAAAAATGAGGATGGTAGAGGAGACATCTTTGATGTAATCAATAGAGGAGATCCCAATCCACATGGAAGCGCCAACGAAGATTGTCCAAGTGCAGTTTGCTTTAAAAACTGCATGGTTTCCAATTCAAACGCAGGATGTTGACCCTTATTAATTTTTGTTCTTTGCTGCTTGACACTCCCATGTAATTATTGCAAATTTTCTTTTGAAACTGCGAAACATTTTCAGTTTTCATTTGTGACTCCTTAAATTATATTGATACAGTGCAATCTGTGTGCACCACAGTGAGTTATTTTGTTTTTAAAGCCGTACAGAAATATAGACAAGGTAGGACAGCCTATGGCTTCTTTTCTGCTGGTACTCGTATCCTGGCAAGAGTGCCAGGACTGCAGTGATGCCACTAAGGAGCAATAATTTATGCCAGGCTGCTGGAGTGAATGGGGGCCCTCTGCTAATATCAAACACAAGGCCTTGGAATACTAACCATCGTGTCAGCAGGTTATGCACATCTCTATCTCTAAGCAGAAAGAAGTGGCCAAAATACATACACTGAATAAGCAACAGAACAAGATAAAGAAAATCTTTACCAGCAGGGCTCAGCAACAACACTCTTACCTGAAACACCAGATGGAGGCACCCTGGGCTGCAGTCTGTTGGCTTGTGCCAGCATAGGATTGTTCAGCCTTTAATATAAAAAACACACGCTAAACACACTTTCTACGGAGTTTAAACTGATCAGTAACTCGAATTGCGCAGCAGACAGCAGCTGCATGTTAAGTTGTATTAGCAGTAGGCTTCATCTTATTTTTCTATTTTGGCTTTTCATTTTGTACTTTCATTATTTACTATTATTTTGTTCGCCTCACTACTGCACATTTTGCAAATATGGAAAAGATGTTTTGTGCACGAAATGCAAACTACAAGCTAATTATACAGAGACTGATGGCTTTAGATGCTCATACTGTACTTACCCAAACGTATTTGGTTCTTCTACAATCTTCATCTTTCCAGCTGACGATAACGGTACTAGAACGCGCAGAATAAAAAAAAAAAACTGATTAACCCGCGACTTGCAAAATTGCTGTAAATTTCTACGTAATGGCATAAAACGAGTCACTGCAGTTATAACTGAGATAATTGGGATAAAAAAAAACTTACTTTGTAAACTAACCCACGTCAGAGAGAACAAGCTCAAATAAAGGTGCCCTGCAGGAAAAATGCTCACGCTCAACACTACCGTGTTATACATTTTAAAAGGTTTTTGAAACAAATTTCGGTCGCTTGGTGCAGAGACACCAGGAAGTGGCACTGGGAATCACACGTGACGGTCTGACAGGCAGGAAGCCGACGATGAAAATAAATTTTGTGTTTCAAGTGTAAACGTCACGAGCAAAAACACTTTTTAGAACTGTTAAAGGAACAACCGTATTGTACTGAAACGAGAGAGAATAAATGCATTTGAAAAAATATATAATGGCAGCCCTGTTGTCTTTTAATGGTGTTTTTTTTTTGCGCTGGTTATACGTTTAACGGGATCGCTTGTCACATTACATTAATTTCACGGTCTTAATGGGGCCTTTCTTTACTAATTTAACAGTCCTCGAAGTCCACTCTTTTGATTGTACACTTTACATGATATTGAGATGGGTGTAATGGTGTGAAATTTTGAAAGGCCTGCTGAGGAAACAGATCGCCTAACCGTAGGACTGCGGCGAATGCGGGCGGTTACGTTAAACACGAAACTGGAGCAGGAAATGGCTGCTGTTGTGTCCTAACGTGGTGCTCGGTGAGTCGCAAAATAAGCAGAAGTCCTCTCTCACATGCTGTGTTTCACCGACTGATAGGCAATGTATTAAACCATTATAAATAGGAAACGATTTGAGTTTGCATAAGTTATATTTAAAAGTGTTTCAATTTGGTCTAACTAGTGCGCGAGAAACTTGTTATGGCAAGATTGAATTTATCTTAGTCTGTGATAAATATTGGAACTGTAATTGTATTGTAGTTTGAATAAATCAGGATAACTGCGTCGTTGAAAGAAATGAGTGTGATTTTAACAATTTATGTGATAGGTTTCCAAAACCTCCCAAATTTAAATTTAAGGTTAGAAAATATTCAAAGGTATAGACGTATTTACATTAAATGATACCTTCAATGTCATTCAATAAATACTACGTTGCTGTGCAGTGCGTATTGTTGGTAAAGTAGAATAATGGACGATAACGCCCCTTCCGAGATTGGCTCGTACACACAATTGTTGTCCTAGATTAAATTGTCAGTTAGTCTTAAAATGTCAATACTTTTGTTCAACTCATGAAGCACGTGTAAGTTCCCAGTGTTAAACTGCGTATTAATGTTTGTCTTACTAATACTATCCTCAGCAGTGGGGCGAACATTCATCAGTGCTTCTAAGTAAAAAAAAACTTTTAGTGTAGAATTATAAAAATGGGAAGCGCGGTTTCAAGAAAACACGAATGAGCTTTTTTAAATGCAGGGTATTTTTCTGCAAGCTCTTTCATATAGTGAGCTGGTTTGAATTAGGGCAGTGAAAGCATCGCCCACCAACGTGGGAGTTGCCATGTACTCAGAACTGAGTCCGGGTCCTCCTTATGTTAAGGATGCCGGTTCAATTTAAGAATTGGTGCAACAGTTCCGTCTATTTTAAAACCTGATATCAGCTCTCAATTGAACTTGTTCCTGAGCTGGAGATCTAATGGCTTTTGTCATTGTTCCTGTTAGAAAGAGCCTGGAATGTCTTGTGCTGTAACTGCAAGTTGTACTGTGCAGTGGTATTTATTATTTTTTTTTAAAGCACAATACATCCATCCATTTTCTAACCACTTTATCCAATACACGGTTGTGGGGGATCACACTGACACCAGAGCCAGTTTACCCAGAAGCCAATTAACCTATCAGTACGTCTTTGGCCTCTGAGAAAAACTCCTTTCCTAAAATCAGTATTGGAATGCATGTCCACAGAGGAAAAGTGAAATTTTAAAATGGTCTAGTTTACTTGGAAACCTAACCTGAATTAGGTGGTTTAGTGTGCAGCAGCCTCCAGTTCGTCGAGAGTGCTGCCTCTTAGTCAATGTCTTCTCCCTCTGTGTAGCATCGAGCGTGAACTTCCAGGCACAGGGATGGGGAGGAAGAAGCAACACCATGGTAAACCGGATCGCCCCCCCGGCCGAGGCAGGGACACCCAGCACCGGCAGAAGGGGAAATCACTGGAGGCCTTCACCGAAGAGATGCACGAAGCTTTGCAAGGTTGGCTGTTAAGAAAAAAAGCTCAGGTGCCATGTAGTTTCTTCCAGAGCGTGGGCTGCTTGGAGCGATCTGAGGCTGTGCCTCGTGCGAGAGTTCAGTGCTGTCTGGAAGAATCCAGCGCCCTCTTGCGTGCAGCCCTGCACTCCCGCAGGCATCCCGCTGAGTTCTGGAGGCCGCTGTTCCTGTGGGCAATCCCAGGATGCATGCATGCTTCAGCAACCCGCTACGTGCACGGCCTCATGGGATATCCCTGCCACAGTTGACCAGTGAAAGAGCCCAGAGAGAGCAGCAGGGTGTGGAAACGCCGGTACTAGCTGAGCCACTCTGAGAGGGGGGCTCCGGTGACTTCAAATCTCTAGAGAGGAGCCAAGTCTGAGTCCTCCCAGTCTGAGTCACTGCAGAAACCAATCACTCTTAATGTCTTCATTGACCCAGCTGCTGGTCGTCATTAAGCAATTAAGGATTAATTGAGATAGTTGTGAAAACGTGCTGGAATGGAAAGATGGTTACCTTATTTCTCCCTGACGGTCCACGCTGCAGGCTTTTGAGCACGGTCTCTCAGGATCAGATCAAACCGCGCAATCGTGTACGCACTCATTTGTTTATTTAAAACAAGGGCAAAGGCGTTTTAATTTAACTTTAGGTGTCTTTGCAGAGGTTTGAGATCATTAGACTATTTTGTAGTGTTTCAGGACCCTGTAGCTTCAGTGTGCTGTAGCAACAGCAGAGGGCGATAATGATCTACTACAGAAACAAGACATTGGACAGTGTTGTTTTCAAGATAGAGCCTGTTAAACCTCATAACCTAAGAACAGCTAAACGTTTTCTAAATTTGATTTTTTACTTTTGACATCATACTTCCTTTTTGTAATTTCTTAATTATCTTGTACTTTATATCTATATGGTGACTATAGGACCCTAATTGGTTGTACAGTAAAATGCCTGCATTTCCAAGTATCCATCAAATGAAGAGTTCATGCAGGTTTACTTTGAAAAAGACCCTTGTAAACAGTTCAGTCATTATTCCTGTAATTTTTCCTTGAGCACGTTCTTGACAGAATTATCTGCCAGCTGTGGTGGCTTTCTGTGATCCCTACTGCTCATGAAAACATGCTCATTTTGTCTCCCTGAGATGCTGAAAGCAAAGTCTTTTTATGATCAACTACTTTTTCATGTCTGAATTAATGACTCTGTGTGTGTTTTGAGAACAGCTTATTATTTGAGTTGCTGTTTATGTAAACTGTTCTAATTACATTGGCGAAAACAAGATATTGATAGTAAAAAATGAAGTGGGCGCAGCGCCAGCCTCAGTAACCTGTTGTTTTATTTTTTTTCTAACCTGTTTGCTCTATGGGCCACATATGGCGACTGAGCACGCTGTGGGAGTTTGCCCATGTTCTGTTTGATCCTGAATAAAAAGGTTTTTTTTATTCCTAGCATT